GTGAAATTCAAAGTCAACGCCTGTGCCCATTTCAACTTGACCCTAGGCAAGTTTAGGACCTTGTAATTAAATGTCAGAAACTGCTGCTGTTACCACAAGGCAAAACATCATACTTTAATTCAATTAAATTAACCAATTATCCAAAATTAAACAACTGTGGCATAATGGTCAGATTTTAATAGCATTCAAATGAAAGTATAACGATAAGAAACATAGAGACTTGTGTTTATTGTCAGATGCCCTTGATTTTGATGCTTTTGGAACAAAGTTGATTTGCTGTGCGCTAGGAACAAAAATCATATCTCAACATATTATTTTTTATGCTAAATTGTGACACATGATATATCTATCCATATTTATTTCTGTTGAAACTCATGCTGAGCTTGTTCAGGGAACATAAGGAAACAGAAAAAGAAAACAAGACAAAAAGTGAGGGAATCTAAGTCAAACTCGCTGAAAATGTTTTAGTATGTGGTATTGTATCATCCCAATCTAATCTAATAACTAATGTTCATCACCAATATGAGATAAAACAATGATTTTGCATTGTTGGATTGTAGCCTTCAGTGGACTAAATCCATAATTTGATGCCATGTTTCAGTGCTGTGGTTTTGCTACCAAAAACTATAGCAATGGATGATATTTTTGTATTATGGACAAAACTTAAAAATTAATTTGATCAAACAATTTCAACTTGACAGTACCCCGGAGGCGTAGTCTCCAATGATGGCCACTCTCTGGAAGTCGGGCACCTCCAGGTAGGTGGGTGTGTCCACCTCCACTGACACTACAGTGGCAGTGGTTGCCTTGGCACCGGCCACGGACACAGCCATGGTGCAGCTGCGCTGGTGCCTCTTGCTGCAGAGAAGAAGTAATAAAGGCAGAGGATGGCTTAATGCACTGCTGAAACTTCTGAAATGTTTAATGCAGTAGCCACACAAAATGCAAAGAAGAGTTTATTTTATGGCCTTCTGCAAAAGATGGGATATGAATCATTAGTTGGCAAGTAAAGCCCAGAGGCAGTTTGTCTATAGGCAATGAGAAGACAGAAACAGGACACCACACACTAACAGATCCTGACTCTAAAAACAAAGTATCCTGCTAAATCTGTCATGGTCAAACACAAGTTCATCAAGCAAACATGGTGTAGGCCTACGGTGGGCAGATCTTTTGACTTTTTCCCCAAAATTCACAATGAATAAAGAAAAAAAACATAGATGGAGTCAATGAGACAGCAGAAACTTGCTGTATATGTTAAAATGTGAGCTGTAGAAACAAAAAAATCCTCCAGTTTATCAAGCTTTAATGAATGATGTTATAAAGCATTTGCAGTTAGAAAAAATTTAATTTACCCTGAGAGGAAAGATAAATATGTTTTACTCAATATGGCAGCTATTTATAGACTACTATAACAAGAACAACCCCATGAAAAAATTATAATTTAGAAAAATCCAGAGCACTTGACATCCTCCAAGTTGTATTATTATTACTATTTAAATCTCTTTTTTTTTCTTTTTTTTTTAAATCTTATTATTTTGGTATTATATTTGTTTGTACTTGTGTTTTTTATGTTTTTTATTTCTTTATTATCATTGTTTTTTGTGTTGGTTTAAGGTATGTATAAATATGTCTCAGATTGTTTTGTTTTTTTATCTGTATTTGGAAAAAGAAAAAACCCCAATAAAGAGAAGTTTAAAAAAAAAAAAGTGAGCTGTAGGAGAGTACACATTGATATGCTGTGGTTGTTGGTTTTCATAATTAGGTCAGCTCGTTTCTAATGATCTAGCGTTTTTGTTCTACTTGATATTCTGGGGAGTGCATGCTCGGCTGCCCGCAGGGTTCCCCTCACTTAACAGGATATCAGATCGTAAAGTTTGAACTCTTTGCAGCTATGATATTCTTCATGGATTGGATGGCTCTTAACACACCTCAGGAAAATCTGGCAAGCTAATCCTTAGAAGTAGGCCTACATGACAGAAAGAAAGGCATCACATCCCCCGTCTCACCGTTTCTCAGCGTCATCCTCATACTGCAGATGGTGGGCCATCTCTTCGTGGAGGATGGGACAGTCGTCAGCCACGTCAAACATAGAGATCTCATCGCGGATGTTCTCATCTTTGGTCTCAGACGCAAAGACCTTCTCCGCGAAGGCCCGCATCTTGTCATCGGTCTCTGTCAGACCCAGAGAAGATACAGTCAATTACAAATACCCGTTCTGTAACTGTCACATCATGCAGCACTAAACTAAACTGTTGCTGAGGCTACAAGGCGAGCTGCATTTCAACAAACAAACATTCTAGATTTCTAATCATCCACGCTGCATGAATATGACGGATGAGAAAATGCATAAAGACTGAATGAAGACCTGCATCATGAACATAAAGGGCACACACCTTACCCAGCCTGGTGTTCACAGACTCCAGCACATGCAACCAAAGATTGATGCAGACACTACAAGTCCGCAACTCTGACCTCCAGTTTGGGCTGCAGACAAAACAGTCCCATGCATACAGAGGAACTACAGTGAAGAGGCAAATTGACAAACACAGTTGGCTCGACCCATGTTGACAAAAAATGGAAAAGCTTACATTTAATTTATCATTTTAACTCCAGACCCAGATTTCTCATCGTCTTTCTTTGTTCAATCTTGATTTTTTTGTTATTGTTTACAAACTATCAGTCAATTATTTAGATCAGAATTGATTAACATGTTGAAAGAAACAATGAAAAAAAGGGTCAAAGTCCAAAGTGACTGGAGTTAAAAAACAATCTGCTGTAAATACAACATTACCTATACAAGGCATTCAATTTTCACAAAGGACAATGACAATATGATGCTTACAGCAGTGAACTACTTTCTAGAACATTCTCTACATGCACAAACTAGCTAAGAGATCAGTCTCTCTGCTCTAAGACAAGAACTACAATACTGCATTGAAGACAACAAGTTCTACTTTATCATCCCCCATACTTACTCTCTTGACCTGATTATGCCCAGCAAGAAAAGAGCACCAATCGGAATAAAAAGCCCCAAAAAAAGCATAGAAAAGCATTTATTAGAAATGAGTTAAACACACAAACATTTGCTGTATTGTACTGCAAAAAAGGCACATTTGGCTCTACTCCAATTCTGAATATGTAACCTTTTAGGAACAAAGACTGTACACATTTGGATAAGTTATTTACAGTTAAGACTTTTTCTGAGATAAATAGGCATGCAACTTTAATCACAGCAGAAATTAGCTAAAGAGGAGTGACATGATGGATCAGTGTCTATGATAAATGGACAAGAAGGATTAACATACATTGTGATGATTGGAAATTGTTAAATACATTTCACAGTAATATTGAAGGAAATTAAACACAGAGGCTGGACAAAAAAAATCGGAATTAGTATCTTCTCAAAACATGCAGAGATAATTTTGTGTTCTAAGTTTGACAATGGTGCTACCATCTCAATGTATGTGAGCCCAATCAGTATGTCCAAGTTGGCTCAAATGGGCTTTCTCCAGCTTCAGCCGGTGTTCTCTCGAGATTTGCTCCCTTGTCTCCAAATACAACCACAGCATGAAACGATAGCAGAGGCTATCCATATCTCGTATCAAATAATGCTACCAGAACAAAATAACACTATTGATTCACAACTTACTCCATATGCATCGTCAGAGTATGGGGAGCAAGTTTTGGTACTCTAATATTTAAGATTTCAGGGGTAGCTATGGACAATACGCTCTTAACAAATAATTCTCCCATTAAAGAATCTCATTAAAACACAAATTTTTCGCTTCATTTGCATTGTACGGAAATAGGAAGGATTTTTGATACTCAATTATAAATCCTTTATTTGAAGAAGAAGATGATGAAGCATACAGCGACAGACAAATAGCCCCAATCAAATAATGCTTCCTGTACTGCACAGATCTGCATGGTTGCACATGTCAATGGGTGGCACCATTCGACTGAACACCGACTCATACTGGGCGAAAGTGGGCCTCAAAATGGTTTGGTCCACATGCGTAATCCAGCAGATAGGTAGAAGCATTGGGAATAGGCATACACATCAAATATGGGTACTGAATGGGTCCCAAATTGGCAACATTTATCCATCATTGGGCCTGTGTGGAGCCATTCAAGGACACATCTTGGCTATCGCATGAGGGGCCTCAAAATTGGCTTGTTCCCAGTTGGTAATCAGAAAAATATATTAGCCCAGATTCAACCCATTTAAGCCCCACTTGGAGTTGTTTGAGAAGATGCATTTCCTGTGGACACCTTAAATGGATCAAACAAGGTAATGGTCCAAGTCCATTAGCTCTTGTTTGTGTGCTGCTTTGCTAAATGACAAGCATTACCATGTTGACAGAGTCAGAGAGACGCCTGCAGAGAGTCATTTATTTATGTAATTGTTCACATTCAGTTCTATTTTTGTTAATGATGCTCTGTTTGTAAAGCATTGTATACAAAAACAACATAATGATGCAGAGAAACAGTACTGAATGTGAACAGTACATTAATAAAGGGTTTCCAATGAGATAATAATCTCTTATTTATATTTCCAACCTTCTAGGTTGTATCCAAATGCACCTTGGAGAAACAACATTTGCCAATGTGGCTGTGAACCATGCATTTGAAATGCTTTAGATTTCCCACAGCTCCCTCTGTCTCTTCTCAGCTCTGTACTCACTTCCTCCCTCTGGTGAGTAAGTAAAAAGTCCCAGTCAGGGTGGAATAGTCTCGGTTAGAGGGGAACAAAACAAGTGTGGTTATGTGTCACAGCGAAAAATGTCAATGATGCAAATGAGCACAGAAAATTCTCCATCCCTTGACTTTGATTATTCATTGTTGAAAAATTGTCCAAAGTGATCTCTGCGGAGTTTTCTGGACATGCTTCTTTATGTGTTGGAAATTGTTGACCAAATGCAATCTAATAATTTTGTCTCCATTGCACCCAGAAACTCTGCAAAGAAAACCAATGGCTAAATCAAACTAAAAGTAAACAGGATCTGTTTTTGTAATTTTGGTCAACTGGCCTTGTGCTCAGCTCCCCATCCCACTGAAACAGATAATAAAACAACATGCCTGGTTTTGTCTGGACGACACAGGTGTGAAATCTGTGCAGTAACATCAGAATATCAGAACAAGTGCAAACGGTCTCAAACACATTCTCCACCACTGCCTGTTAAACCATTACAACTAGCTCACCCTATTACATTTTAAATGAAGCTCTTCCAACAGCAGCTGTTGAACCCATCGCACTTCTATTTTTCACCCTCTGTGAGACTCTTCATGGCATAATATGATTTCATACTTGCCAGTTGTCTGGTGTCTGGTAAAGGTAAAACTATAATTAGCAACCATTACAGCAGAGTTTCAGTAGTATTAAATACTGGAGATGGATTGAAACAAGGAACACCACGGAAGCTAACACCTCAAGTACAAAGTGTGCAAAAGCTCCCTCATAATTTAATTACACATGCACACCGAGAACCTGCTGAAATATCATATCCATCAAATATCCTCTTTTGACATGTTCACAGCCAGTACAGGCACACTTACTAGATTCAACAGAAGCTGATACACTGACCCGATGACTCTATGATCCCGAATTGAATGCTAACAACTGAGCACAAGAAAGATTTTTGGAGGTTGGGATCGCCCAATTTATCTAAAAATCTAAAAAAAAAAAAAAGGATGGTAAACTCCATTTAACATAAAACTGTTCACCTATGCAAAAATAAATCACATCTTGGGATGTCAACATAAGTCATAATGGACTTCGTATTGGAACTATTTGCATTTCAACCCCAATGAACCTGTCATTAGAGCTGTCAATGCCTTCCATTAGAGTGCCCAGAGTATGTAACACCGGCAGAGATAGGAATTTATTACCACACCAGTTGTTGATATTCAAAAGAGTAAGAGGTGTGACCCCTGTAAAATACATATTCATACAAACAAGTTTAGGAAGTCCTCACCTCCATCCTCAAAAGAAGAAATAAGGGTGAAGTTTGAAAGAAAATGTTACGCTTTTTGCATATTGGCCAAAACAGCCCAAGGAAAGAGATAAGAAACACAAAATTGAGCACACTTGGAGAACTGCATGTCAAACAACCTGTTAAAAATAATATTCAAACCCCTTTTCTAAAGATGGGATTGCCTGTTCAAACCCAAAGTCATTTTGCCAATACTCACCTGGGACTGCGACTTTAGGCATGGTGACGCTCTTCCAGTGAAACGCTCCCTGATGACTGGTAACTGGTGGTCAGCCGCTGGACTCACTGTAGAAGGGAAGTGTGGAGCCCTGAGCTTGAGTCTGTGTAATATTAAGCCCCCCTTCTGCCTTGAGTGTAACCATAAACCGGCTGTGCCCACATGGGACACGCCTGGCTGAACGGGCAACTCATATGTGTCCAACTCTATTTTAAGTTGTCTATGTGCACACTGACAGGCACAGTGTGTAGACAAAGACACTGGTATTTGCAAGCAAAGGAACTCCTGTTATATAACGACCTGATAGCTGTATGAGTTGCTATGCCCATGGCAGGTGGGTACATGTGTTGTTTTCATTACAAATACAACAGGTGGAACATTGTAATTACTACTTTTGGGTTAAAATGGAAAGTTATTTTGGAAATTGATGAGAGTTGATTCTTAAGACAAGCTCTTACAGTTGACATGTTATCTTTGCACCTGACATGAATAATCTGCAGCTTTCACAACTGTTTCCAAGTTGTGGTATATTGCTGCAATCAACATAACATATATATACTTGCATTAGCATAGTTGGTTTGATACGAGTAATGAGACCTGACCAATATACTGGCAGTGAAAGTTCATTTATTTTGTTGTTGCATGCTGACTTTGTAGTAATATGGGTCTGGCAAGAAAAACATTCCAGACAATTGCATTGGGAGATCTGTGAGTAGAAGGGGGACACAGGAACTTGGCCTGCAAGTGGATTTGATTGGAACCCCTGATTCAATACAATGAAACAACATGGAGTCGCCACCCTCCCTGTGGACCCACCACCTGGGTGGGCATGGGGGGGTTGGGTGCATTGCAGACCGAGCAGCAGTCGAAGGCGATGGTATAGATGAGTTACTCCGAAAGGTGGCTAGGCTCAGGCTTAGATAAAGGGTGAAGGCCTTGTTCACACATGAGTTGACATCCTCACAGATACCCTAACCTAACAAAGCTGATGTCAGAAGCTCCGCCCCTTCTTGAGTCTGATTGGTTGTGATTCTAGCGCTCAGGACGCTGACCTCGAAAATGCTAAACTACATTGTTTTTATTTTGAAAACACGGCGCTGCCAGTGCGAAAAACAGCTGTCTGTGGACACAGGCACTAAAACATCAAAATACAGTCAGAGAACAGGGTCACCACCTAACATGTATGGAGGCCCATGAGTAATGATTGAGTGCCATTACTTTTGTTCAAGTGTACATTTATATATTTTAGGAAGAAGCAACTGACTCTGCCTTGAATGTGTTTCCAACCTAAACTATCTCCTTAGAAAGCAGGATATATGAGTAAGAAGATACAGCTTTGGTTTATTCTTAAAAATGGCTGTCTGTTTTTGGTTGTTAGGGCGGAAAATAGCTTGTCTTATTTTAAGACTTAGCCACTCTCACTTGTGTAACACACGTCTGCTTCTCCATTCATCTTGAGAGGCTTTGCAGCTTGTAGACACTTAACCAGCCGTCTATTTTTAGGGAATGTGATCCTAAATGTCAAAGTTCCTCTTAAAGTACAACTAGTTACTGAGATCGAGTTAGAAATGGGCAGTCCGCCAGTGTAGCTATTAGAAATAAAAATGCCGGACAGAGTTTTTGAATTTTTAAAAATGCGTTAGGCGAAGGACCACAATTTGCAAAAGATAATCCTTTAAAAATGAATTGTTTTACAAGTATTTATTTTCAAATTTGAAAATGTAGTGTCATGTTTACTGAATAAAAAATATTGTAACATAATCTGAAATCCAAGATATGCATATAAATTGCCATATCAATGTGAACTTGAAGGAAAATATATGCAAGGATAGAGGCAACAATGCATCACAATTACTGCAATGAAGGACCAGTTCTCTGAAGAATTTCTTTCCAGTTTGCATCTGACTGTGTCTCACTATGAACCTGAGAGATTATCGGCAGCTGGACATGTGGTTTACCCCGGCAGAAGAGAGCACGAAGTCCAAGTTTCACCATCTCATATAACCTCCTATCATCATCATCATCTGTAATGCCAACAAACATTACCTAATTACAACAGGTGCGCCCATGACCTGCTTCTGGTCTGTGAGTTATTTGGCTGTGTTTGGACACTTCCATAGTTTCACTTACAAATTCATCAGTCGGCATAAGATTGTGTCAAACAATAGACACAATGCAGACAAGACAGTAACAGCAGCAGTAGCATACATCTTTAACCCGTCTTTCAACAGCACCATACTGAAATCCCAGTGCAAAGCAACATCTAGATGTCATCAAATTCATATAGAGACAAGAATAATAATAATAGTACTACTACTAATAATAATAATAATACTAATAACACTGAGAAAGAAAGAAAAAATAAAAAATAAACAAAAACATCCACACACAGCAACAACAATTAAAAAAAACTAAAAAAAAAACTACAACAACATATATATATATTTTTTTGCACCTTTGAATTCTTGACATAAATAGTTAAACGTTTGTCTTAAGGTTTTGTTGGGTATAGAATTTTACTGGTGTCAAGTGCACGAGTGAAGAAATCTGAAACCTTTCCTGCATATAGGCTACAGTCACACAGAAAGCAAAGACCCCCTGCAGCATGTATGTAATGTGCACATACAGTACAGGGATTTCTTTTTGTAAGCTAAACAGCAAAACTGTGGAAAAAAACACTGTGGAGTGAGTATGTGCCTGGTGGTAATCAGTAAGTGTTGCACAGTTCAGCATGTTTCCATGTTCTGTTGAGATTGTGATCACCCTTCCTGTTAGAAAGATAAAGAGGAACACCCAGATCTAAAAACAGCACGACTGCATAATCACTGACGAATGCACTGACAGTTTTCAGGACCAGCTTGTTTTCAGACAACAGGATTCACACCACGGATTGGTTTCCACTAAGCAAATGAAACTACCAAACATTTAAGTATGTTTTCTCAAACCTGAACAATCAAGAATAGAGGCTGAAATATCTTACTTTTTAAATATCTCAATATAATAAAATATAACTACTTGTAGATAAGTAAATAAAGCTTCCTCAAGGTTTATTAAACTCTAATTAAAAACTAGATAATGTAACCTTAAAATCGAACACAGCTCATTTACATATTTAAAACTACAGGCACAGAAACAGCCTGTTCTGAGCAGGGCTGAAATAGAGGGGTTTATAGGTATGATCAAATACAGGATCAGAGTGGATTTAGAACAAGAGACTTCACAGACATGTTTATGGGAGCTCTGAGACTTACTTAAACTGGTTGAAAAGGAGGAGGATATGTGACCTTCAAAATTAAACATGAGCAAGGACAGTCTTTTTCACAGTCCGATTCGTCGAACGTAAGTTAGAAGAGAGAAACTGTCCTTTTTACTATATCGATCCTATTGAGTCTTAAAATGATCTTCAGGAACAGGACATAGTGTCTTTGGTGCTTATTATTATTATTATTATGATTATGGTATTAAACCTCCTAGCTGCAAATACAGATGAATTTAGGTGGAACAGTGGGAATGCTCACAAAAAAAAACTGCATTCCTACTTCCAAGTCTGCTAACGCCAAGTATATACCGTAAGTACTGACAATTACAGACAAATGTCTCCTGCATTCTCTGAACCTAAATAAAATAGAATTGACTTTGTTTTGTCAGGATTAATGTAAACAATGTAATATGGGTGGGATCGTAATCTGTTTTCCAGTGGTTAAATGCCTTCAGGAATTTTAATTGGTCTTAATTGCTCAAGCGTTCCTCCCAACAAGATTGTTCTTCCTTCAGAGCAGAGAGGTCTGAGCATCTGTACAGGCACGACTCAAAGGTAGGTCCTTCATGTATTTTTATCATTCAATTAAAAAACGTTATTTCTAAAATTAGTGGGGCTGTGGCACGGTAGCTTTGAGCAGCCGCCAAGCTTGACAAATGTATTATGGGATGACAGATTACAGAGATGGCTTATTTGGGTAATTTAGTTGTTTGTGCAAAATGACCCAAACTGTTGCATTGACCAGACTTTCATGTCCCTTTTAAAATAACAGAGTGGTTGCAATGGAAGTCAAGGTGTCTGTGGATGGTATTCAGCGTGTTGTCTGTGGCATTACAGAGGAAACGACATGCCAAGATGTTGTTGTAGTGTTGGCTCAAGCTCTGGGTATGTAAAATATGCCTGTGACTCTACATAGTATGAAGATTTATGTACTCATGCTAACAAAAACATCCTTCTCTGTAGGCCAACCTGGACGTTACACATTAAGGGAGAAATTCAAAGACTTTGAGCGCTGCATGACGCCCGGCGAATGCCTTCTGGAGACTCTTAGGAAGTATGGTGAGCAAGCCAAGGAGGTGCAACTCACACTGCTCCACAACGGACCCTCAGTCTGTGATGAAATGAGCAGGACAAAAGTTGGCAGATACCAGCCCTGCCCGCCGCTGAGACGAAAGGATGCCGGCCCCAGGATTCGACGGGGCAGCAGTTCACTTAGTTTGCATCGTCAAAGCTTGCCGCCGTTGCCCTGTTTAAGACAAGAGGCGGATCAGCAGAGAGAGGAAGTGAAAAGGCCAAAAAGAAAGTCTCTGACAATCATGGAGGAGGCCTGGGAATGGTTGGAGAGTCTTGGGAAAGGCAAGGTCTACAGTACTGCTGGTGAGAAGGAAAGCAGCAGGAATCGTTCCTCTTTGAATGTCTCTCTCACGGTTGACAAAGAGAACTCAAGTCGAAGTAGTAAAAGCAAAATAAGAGGTCAGAAAAGTTTAAATTCAGACTTGGATCATCAAACATCCTGCTGCATGGGAAGTCAGACGACGGGTAAAGAAAGCAAACACTCCAGGAAAACTCAAGATGCAAGATCAGACGACAAGTTCATCTCTAGATGTTCTACAGGTGAAGATGAAAAAACAAGTCTGAGAGAAACCATCATATGTCAACTCGCTTATCTGCAGGACTTGCAGGTCCAGATAGTGCACGTAGACAAGCGGATTCTTGAGCTTGAAGTAATGCAAAAGGCCAAACAAGCCGAACAGGAGGCAGAGCAGAGACTGGTCGAAGAGGAAATTGAGCAGATCCAGTTTTGGGAGAATGAACTAAAGGCAGAGGAAGGTTTCGAGAAAGATTTGCAATGTCAGTTTCTTGAGATGAAGGCAAAGGCTGTGGAGTGTAAAGCAAAGCTGGAGGAGTATAGGGGAAGGATGCAAGGACTTGATTTTTTTACTCAAAACACTGTTGAAGAGGATTCAGGGGCAGTGTCAGAAGCCCCAGATGAGAGTTCAGCTCTTCAAACTAAGGACCTTAATCAGAAACAATCTGACCTTGAAGTATACACTAACAGGAAGTTCCTGCCCAGAGAAGACTCAAACCCTCCTCACGCTCTAGTTGCTACCAGCCAGACAAAAGAGCGACGGCCCACAGGACCCACCGAGCTGAGGGAATGGTGGACACGCTGGTCTGAAGCCCAAAGCTCTCAAGCACAGAGTAAAAAAAAGGTGATTCACCGCTCTGAGCTCACGATTTATCTGGGCAGTACCAAGGTTTAGAATTGAAAACCAAACATCAGAAATACAGACCATAGATATTATGACGCCGCATTTTGAACCAGCTTTAGGATTGTTTTAAAATCCAAAACTGGGTTTGTAATTCTCACTCAATTCCAGTATTTCCTACAACCTTCCCATGTTTATTCTGTTAAGGGAGCCCCCTACTGGTAAACATGGGGCAGTGATAGCAGCAGTGAGTCTGTGGTTGTAAAATGTCTGTACCAGCACATCAGAAAAAAATATGTATCTAGAGAAGAGAGATTCTTTAAAAAAAGTTAGAATACCTCTTTTTATTTAACCTGTTTAAAGACATGTTTAATCAACAGAAGCTAAACAAACTTAGATTTAACATTTTTAGTTAAAAACCAAATGATTTGTGCAGATAAGACTACTTGCCAAATAGTATGCAACCCAAACAATACTAGTATTGAATATATTGTACATGATACTAATTTATTAAAGGGAAGGGAGTAAACTGAAGAACGCTTTCCATAAAGTTTAATTTAGTTTAGGACTGAGCTTCCTGAACTTCTCAGAACAAGTAACAAACCAGATTTCTGAACAATATGACAGAAAATAGTTTTTGAATGTCACAGTGCATGCAGTAATAAGTCAAGTGATCGGGGACATTGAAGCTAATGCTACAACTGATTATGAGACCTTTAAAGTTGTTTGGCCAGATTTCTGAAAAAATTGGCATGTTGTGTAAAATGTAAATAAACCAGAATACATTTTAAAAACATTGGATCCCTGTATTTATTATCACAAAATAGCAAAGACACCCAATCAGACGCTGAAATGGAATATTTTTGTTGTTTTGGTGAAGTATTTTGAATTGTATGACAATGTTTTGATACCATTTTATAAAGCTATTGAGGAAATGGGGTTCATTTGGATCTCTAACAAATGCATCTTAAGGCTTTGCAATTAATTGCAATTTCATAGTTATCCCAATATGAGCAGACACAGTAAACATTGCAGAAGTCTGAATTTATCAAGATAAGTTATTTGTTGTTAACAAGCATATATTGTAAATATCTGATGGAAATCTGGGACATGTTTCTCTCCATTTTGCTGCAGTCTGATGATGCTTAAGCTAGCCATCAGTTACCTTCAGATTAATTGGTGCATATGCATTAGTCAGGGGAAAAAATATTTTTGTTCATATATGGATACAGGAGAGACCTGTTGCAAAAAGGTTTAATGAAAACCAGAAAACAGCTAGGATACAAATTGAAACCGAGTTCTACCTGATATGCCATCATTAACTTTTATACAATCTCCATATGGTTACAATATAGAACAATTTTAACGTACATTGCTTATTTCTCACATTGTTCAGACCTAATGCAATTACACCTTTTTTTACAAACAATGACCTAGAATAGGATGCAAGATTCGCACCAGAATCGTTTCCACAGCGAAGCTTCAAGTTGTTTTTGTGCAGTATTAAAGAGAGCAAACTCAGAATAAAGAAACAACAAACATGTCATGATTTTCATAAAACTTTAATTTGTTTCATTCAAGACCATTAACAAAAGTACATGAGAACTTCTGTACGTGGTTTAACTGAAACCCAGTGACCTCCAAAGTTGAAATAAATTTTGACTGTAACTCAATGTGCAGAGGCACAACAGCATCTGCACCGAGTCTGCAGAGCACAGTAACTGATTCTTGATGCTTTTTTTTCCATTTTTTTTTTTTTCTTTTAACTGGATTTCTAATACTTTACCTCTCTCCGTTAAGTTAAATTTGTTTCGTTATATCTCAAGTTTGAACTTTCACTAAGAAAGGAAAGAAAAAAAAAAAAAAGAAAAAAGCACACAATACATACAGTATAGTTCAACCCACAGGTTTGGGATGCATATCAGTATTATTTCTACTAGAAAAGAAAGCCACCCTAAGATTGTTCTGAATGTTTTGGCGGTTGGCTGGGAACAGAGGATACATCTAATGTTTTTGTTTGTCTTTTTTTCTTTTCATTTCCTTTTGCTTGTAGTTTTTAGGCACCTTATTATTCTTACTTTATTCAATATTAGCAGATTGAGTTTCAATGGAAAAAAAAAAAAAAAAAAGCAAAAATATGTGCAAGAAAAAAAACATTGTATAAAAGAACTGCAGATATAAGATGCCACGAGGAATTCTGCACCTGGGAAAAATTGCTTAAGTGGAACATGTGAATACCAAAAAGGTATCTAAAGGCTCCAGATGGGTTAAAGTAAATCCCATTAGATTACATCTCTCTCTCACACACAAACACACACCATGCTTTCACTTCAGCTCTTCAATAAAGCATTTTAAAAACTGCTCAAAAAAACCGAGCAGAGAAGAATCCTCAGTTTAAGCTCGCACATATGAGAAATATGATCCTCCTTATGGAGGGAACTTTGCTTTATGCGTCTTATAGGAAAGCATACAGTCGTGGAAACTTTACAATGAAACCATTGCGAGTTTCCAGGGGTAAGCAAAAGTATGAGAGAAAGAAAAAAAATGGAGCCGACGCTTAAAGACATGCCAACAGTCACACTCATACGGGACAGATTACAGGTGCAGAATTCCAGACAAAGCAGATTCAAATGATCAGGACGCAGACAGACACACAGTCACCACTCTGATTTAGAGGGACAGGGCCCTCAGAAACAAATACCTCCGTTGCACACTATAATGACTTTAGGATACATCACACACACTCAGAGATCCCACGTACACACATGGGAGGCAGGGAACTGTGGAATGAGAAGTTCCCGCGCAGGTTTCAATGGGGACAAAGATTACACATGCCGATTACTGTATGTGTGGCGCATGTTTTTTTTGTTTTATTGACTTTGTGTACAAGCATGTGTCAAATCATATTCCCTTGTACCCTGTTGTGCCTGTCAGGACATCATCCAACAACACCAAACAGGGTGGGCTCTGTATTGCTCAGTCGATTACACCAGGCTGGCGGTTCTTGCGCTCCACATTAAAGCCCTGCATAGACACACAGGAAGGGCACATTTGATGTTGCAGACGTGTGAAATAACAATTACGTAACAGTTCATAAATACAATACTAGTCTAGAAGCATTTATTCTAAAACTTTGCAAGATAAATATTCCAGATGCAAGAAATCAGGTTTGTTTGGTAGAAAACAACAAATGTAACATCCTGATTATGATCTCCATTAAAAAACTGCTGCACAAATTATCACTTCTGCTACACGTGAATTGTATTTCAAATTGAATACCTGTCCTATTAATTGCAATATGAATTTTCCCATGTAAGATAGTCAAACCTAATTCAGCACCTACATGTTCTCCAGTAAATAGCCCTGATTTAAGAACTAATATAGATGATGTTTGGTAACAATTTTCACCATTTCTCAATAATCATATCATGGTTAACAAGCCGTTAATTTTCCCCACTGAGAGAGCAGTAAAGAAAATAATTAAATGCAGTGCACTTGATACAATATCAATTCCAAGAAGAGAAGTTACTTTATTGGACAGGTAAAATGTGGCAGGAGAACAGGAGTGGTCCTACCTTTGAATTATCGGGACCACGGGGCTGTCTTACAATGACCAGACGAGGAGCACTGGCGTCGTCAAGAGTGATGCTCTTCAGTCTGTTCACCAGACGATCAGGACGTGGAGTTGCCACAGGTTTCGGCCCCTCACTGTCGCAGTAGAAAGACAAGTAATGAGAATTTAAGACGAGCATCATTTTATGTGTTGATAAAAAGTTCCGTATTATTTGATTGAACTAAAGCGGACAACAGCATCTTCATCGTCTGCAGCAGAAGTCCTCACCTGACTCGGCGCACGTTGCAGGCACTACATTTTCCTGTGCGTTGATTGAGGACAACCGAAAACTCCACCTCATCCCCAGTCTGGAGCTCAAGGCCATCTTGCACCTCTTTAACATGGAAGAACAGCTTCTTGCTTTCACCAACTTCGTATGTGATGAAGCCAAACTGGGAGAAACAACACACAGTCATGATTCATGGACATTTACTGACTCCAGCATCACCTGGTTTTTGAGATATATATATATATATATATATATATATATATAGATGTAATGCATGATGAGATTTAGTAAAGTTGCTCTCTACCTGGTCTTTGACACACTCCACCATGGCTCTACGTTGAGGGACCACATTGCATGCCATCTTCTGTCCAGTTTGGGTTACTGTGCACACCTGGAACTTGACAAGTTCACCTTTCTGCAGACAGTCTGCCTTGTTTGACATACCCATGATTCCAAAGGGATAATTTGAACCTTTAACCCCACCTGAAACCAGGAAAGACATCTTTAATTACCCCAAAATTATGATTTCTAAGTAACCAGAAGTTAACTATACACTTTGTAATCTGACACCGACCTTCCTCTGCGACCTCGATTAGCCCTTGGTATTCCGTCTGTGAAGGATCCACACTACGTAAGGGACGGATGACTTTACCCATCATCACTGTTGCCACAACATCGTCACCAATGCCATTCACTGAAAATGTATAAAATTGAGCCTTTATTTGTAGCCAATTTTACTTTCACAGTCATGTCAAGACAAATTATTAAAATCAAAGAAATGAATTCCCCCTCATACCTGCAGCCACTTTAGTAACCTTTTCAGCGCTGACTTTGTTTCCTTTGCCCTTCGAGAGAGTGTACTCCACCGTGTCGCCCAGCTCCAAGTTCTCCAAATCTCCACACATTTCACTGAGATGAAGACAGACAGACTTTGTTATGAATCTACAGATCTTTGGATGCCAAAAATAAAATCAGTCACAGGCATCTTTGTGTTCCTTACCTGTAGTGAAAAAATATCTCTTGATCATGATTCGCTGTCTCAATAAAACCGAAGTTGTCCTTCAGCGTGGCGACAAATCCATGCAGTCTCTTTGTGTTGGAGGAGTTTCTATTCATGACTCTGATGGAGACAGCACTCTGCAGGCCGGTTCGCTTCACTTCATTAATTGAAAACTCCACCTAAAAAATAAAAAGCATGATAAGATAGATAAATCTATGTCTTCAAGTTTAGTGTAACAATATTTAAGCTAGCAAGTGATTAGATTTCTACAGTTTATGAAAATGTGAAAAATTCTAGTGCGTTTTATTTGTATTATACATTTGTTTTAATTGTCAACATGTCTTTATATGCTGGGTTTCTTTTCAAGCAGGGTCACCAACTATTGCACATGAGTTTTGACTTAAACCGCCTGACTTAAAATACCTTATCTCCGGCTTGTGGCAGACCTCCCCCCTCCAGGTCCTTGGCATGAAATGGCACAGTGAGCTTCACTCCACAGTCTTCATATGCAATTGTTCCTTCCTCCGTTTCCTACAGAAACAAAATAAAATCATTATCTTTCCAATAATTACAAATCCTAATGCTGATCCGGTTGGCTCGAGCAAAGCTGATTTTCCTATCAATACTACACTAAACAGGTGAACACTACCTTATGTCTTGACTGACTCAATGAGATGAGCTGAGATGTAGTTGATTAAAAGATGGTGGGCAGATGGCCTACACAAGCATAACCGAGGCACCGGCGCATCACTCTAGTTGGTTAGTGTTAGCTACGTCTGCAGCAACAGCTCTGAGATACGGCCTACAATGCAAGGCTGCATAATTACTCATTTTTGTGGGGGAAAAGTATGAAATAAAAAGTGGTTGAATGAAGATGGCCAGGCTGCATGAATATTTTATGATCCCTAATCTGCTGTGTGTTGCTGCCAATTTGTATACGTTAATTGTTTCAGTGGAAAACTCAAAAAACAAATAGTGATTGAGACCAGAGCGTGGTGGAGTAAAAACAACAAAGAAAATCACTCGACCAGGTGCTGATACAAGATTAAGAAGGACCAAAAGAAAGTGATGGAAACTTCCAAATACCTCTGAAACTGGCCATATTAGTAATTGGGATTCCTGTCTCATAAGTAACTGTGCAGCCCTACAACGCACTCAGTGGTAGAGAGAGTCCACGTTTCTACGGGTTATCAAATGGTGATCAAATACCATGCTGTAAAACAAAGGGGTTAAAGAGGCAATCATCGGGCCAGAGGCCTGCTAAGACTGACCTTTTCTACAACTTTACCCTTGAAAAGTAGAGAGAGGATGCTGGTGAATACAGTGATCTTATACTGCTTTATTTGTTGATTAATGCCATATCTTAGACTAAATGTTAGGAGGATCAATATACTAAGATTATAACTAACAAATGAGCATCTTAATCATTACTTTAAGAGGCTATTACTGCTGCTTCATGCACATCCTACCTTGTCTTTTTTCTAACCAGCATGAACAGGATGGTGTCATTGAAGAAGAAAACAAAGAAGACAATTAAAAACTTAAAACAAAAGACTGGAAAGAAAGGAAGTGGACTCGAGTGAGGGGTTAACTGTAATGCTTCTGTTACCGGGGTATTTCCCTGTGTAGTGTGTCACAATTGTGCAATATTTTACCTTTTCTTTTCCCCTGGTTGGACTGGTATTCTTGTTGGCGGTTGCCACAAGCTCTTTCTCTACCACGCCCACAAAGCGCTGCTCAGACTGGGTATGGAAGGACACTGTGCCCTTGGGCAGCTTCTTGATTCGCACTGCATGATTCCTTTGAGCCGACAGCATATCCTGCCAACAACAGAACATTCACTTAGGGAACGCACATTAGAATCCATGTATAATGATACGAATGTGCCTGCTTAAATGATCATCCAGGATACATACTTTTGCGAAAAGGTTATAAAGAGGACCTACAGGCACAACAGTGAACTCCACTTCATCAGAGATGTGCAGCTGACTCTCCTCTAGAACTTCACTGAAGTGAAAAAACATCCTCGCATCTCGATCGACACATTTAATGAAGCCAAAGCCATCGCGTATTGCTGCAATCACACCCTGCAAAAAGATGGGGTGACACAAAAATAATGTCTGAAAAAGCATTCACTTCAGTTACATGAATGCAGCCCCTCATAAATAATACTATCCTTTATCTTTACAACAAGGCAAGAAAAACATGCATCGTTGTTTTAATCGTGTGTCGTTAGTGACATGATAAATGTAGCATTGTAAATGTTTTAATGGATATGTAAGGCCTATTTGTTTTGCCCTTTCCCCCCCCAAAGGAAAATTAGTCTAAAACAAAACTTTGAAAGTCCGTATACGAAAAGTAAATACGAACAACATTTAAGCAGCAACACAAATTTGGTAAAAAAAAAAAAAAAAAATAGGTTTATGTTCTGAATGCAAAAGTAAGCATAGTCTTCTTAAGGTCAAACTGAAGGAGTAAATATTTTTAATTTATGAATGCACTATCCTTATTGGACAAGATGTCAAAATCTATTTGCCCAAAGCAGGTTTTTATATCTTCCCCAGGATGCCTCTCTTACACTGTACTGGTTTCCTTTTTTGTGTGTGTGTGCATATCTCACCATCTCTCGGGTCTCCTTTGTGAAGTCAAAGGTGTCTGGGTAGATGTCGATGTTTGTGGCCCTCTCCAGCTTGTCTCTGCGGTCCGTTGAGATGTTGAACTGAATGTGGTCTCCCTCCAGGAGAGTCACCTTGGACTTAGTGTCCTTTTCACCAAACGGTAGTTCCTTGTCAGTGAAACCAATCCGGGCACTAATACGACCTGGGAGAGGGTCGTTCTATGGAAGCAGGAGGGAAAGATTTGTTAATAAAAAATAATAATCTCTTACACTCTTGCTTAGTGGTTCATAGTTACACATGTGCTTTCTCAGCAAAAGCATTTTCACAAATACGAGACTTGAACTCTCCTGAATTGTAATCTACTTGCCTGGTTTTTGGTGGGAACCTTGGGTATGACCTTGACGACAGTGCCTTCAAACTGCTCAATGCTGATATCCTCAAAGATGACTGTCCCTTGGGGGAGCAGTCTCACATCTGTAGCAACCTCTTTACCCTACAGAAACAAGCACGTAACATGTTTAGACTACACGTTTTCAGGCAGGTAATTAAAGAGTAACAGATGTCAAAGTTGGTCCAAAGAGGATGTGTGTGTTACAAGCAGCTCTGGTCTCCCTACTCTCTCTCTGGGAGCTGCACACCTGAGTCTAATTAGCGCTCAGGTTGTAGGAGGTGATTAAGAGTTGCAGGGAGTGCAGGTGTTCTGTCAATTGTGCTGCCTTGTAGAAAAATACTACCATGGCATGAAATGAATGAAGATGGCTATCCGTATCCCCACAATGAAATGATGCCAACAGAATTAAATAATTTCACATTAATTCATAACTCACTAAAAACACCTCTACTCACTGCATTTGCACTGTAAGTAACATGGAGGCATGTTAAGATATTCCAAAATGAAACCTTTTGACAAGACTTTCGAGGAAGTATCTCTCTCCCCTATCAAATTTTCCCAGTACTGGTCAGAGCTGCATGGTAGATCATCTCAATAGGTAGCACTTTTCAACAGAACACCAGCACTGGTGCACACACAGTGGGCAGAAGTATGGCGAGGAATGCTTGGCTTTCCTCTTAACGGTTCCCTTTTTGTTCCCCCCTAAGCAGGAACCCCTCAGCATGTTTCAGATTTCTTGGTTTTGTTATTCAGGACTCCTACTCTTTCCTAGATGTAATTCTTTGCATGACAATTCAGCTGGTATGACAGGAACACATTGTGCTCATACATACAGCAACATTTACCTTTCTGTGGAAGTCTAATTCAAAAGATGTGCAGTCTATGGCTATAACCATGAACTCTTACATGCTTATAAATTATGACAAATTGATCATACAATAACACAAATACACCTGTAGATGTATACCATTTCATTGAATTATTGTAAGTACATTAAACAAGTCTATGTAGAAGGCGCAGACGAAAGTATCTTGCACCTGCCTTACTAAAAATTATTATAACAGCAAATGATCATTTAAAAAAGCTCAAAATTGTGGATATTAATCCAGCAAAGTGGTTGATGTTTAAGACGACAAATGTAACACTCAAATAATTGTTCCTCACTGAGTTTAGTGTAGTTTTATAGACACTTTCCTGCAGGTTTCACAGAGTCTTTGCGAGAGATGCCACCGCTTCCCTTTTCTCTATAACACTGATTATTCCATCAATTAATCTGATGTAAAATCATTTTGCTTTAAGCTTCAGTGAATGTACAACAGAAAATGAAGTGTTTTATAATACTGCACAATCCAGAGCCACACTGTCTGAGCTTCAGAGTAAAGCTGCTGTCTTGTGCTTTCACTGTGACAACTTATCAATATACGAATAACGGCGGTAGCAAAACTGAAAGACACACTATGATGGCTAAAACCAAAAGTTACGAGTCTAAGATACATTACTTGTGATGTATATATTGCACAGTTATGATACGGTCCATTTGAGGAGAAGATGCTAGCAAAGAGTTTTTTATTAAATAGTACCGTTCACCAGTATTTAGCCGGTGTTTGACTCGCTCACGGTTTGGCTGCCATTCAAAGTTTTAACCACGACGTCTCATTCGTTATCAAACACTCCCAACAATGCCAAACACACATTAGAAACCAGCGCTGCAAGGATCGCAGAGGATCACAAACTTTAAAACATTTGCATGCGAAACTAGTTAGCTAGCACGTTTTTTTTAGCAACGGAGCCAAACATGCTAACCAACGTAACATTGTACAGTTTAACAAAACATACAACAACATTAACCTATTCGACTGATACAAACTACTGAAAGAAGTCGGCAGCGACATCATTTTACACCTGAAACATGATATTTTTTTATATTATTTGACGGTCGGCCACTACAGATGTGTTACCTCCACGTCATCCATCCTGCAGGTGTTACTGTGTGACGTCACGTTTACGGCTTATCGCCTTCATACTGTACATTAACTACCATCACTATTTCATATGATCCTTGGCATAATTAAGCACTTGTTAGATCACAGTGGCATCCGTAGTGGGGAACTCCGATATAAAAATCAGGAGAGATGTTAAAATCATTTTCCAGGACATTTGGCTTTTTCCTCTCATTTCACATCTGTTTTTCTGTATTTTTCCTGTGATGGGAGGCCATAACAATGTGTAAAGTTAAATTGCTACTGGGTTACTTCTTGGCATAAAGGATGAAAAACACATAACACCTACATTTCTGTCTTTAATGGTAAATTCCACATCATCTCCAGCCTGCAGAGCCTCCAGATCGCCCTTGAACTCGCTGTAGTGAAAGAAGATCTCCTTCACTACATCAGCTCTCTCAATGAATCCAAACGCCTCCTGAAAAGCATCACAATGCCGTGTTAACCAGGAAGTCAAAGATAACCTAAAATGAAACAGGTCTATCAAACCATATCAGTGTCCCTTACCTTTGTTGCACACACCACGCCCTGGCACCTCATTTGCTTTTTCTTCACAAGTTGAATATTACGAGCACTAACGGCACCAGTGCTAAAAAACAAAAAGAGTGATAAATATACAAATTGGTTTCAAGCTGGGAATTACTAACTAAAACTAAATTAAAACTGAAGTTTAGACTCACTGCTTGTTGGTGTCCATGTAAAAGCTGACTTTGTCGCCTGTGTCCAGGTGGAGATTACCTTCCACATCATCAGGAGTGTAGGTTAGATAGAACACTTCCTGTCGAGTCAGTAAAAAAACAAATGAAGACAAATTGACTAAAGTATTTCACATTCAAGACAACCCATTAAGAGAGAATGCCAACTTATTTAGGACAGTAAGATGTGTGAGGTGGAGGCTGATAGTGTGTTAACCAAGTCAGAGAGAGCTCTAAAACACATGCAGCTCCGAGCAGCATATGGTGTCATATAGACAATATCTGCATCCACATAATGATTTTTGGTGTAATATGTTTAATAAAACATGGAGGGAGCTTTTAATACTCCATCCCGGAGTTAATTTAGCCAACAAGCTACAATCCATGCCACTTCTCTTACCCCGTTCCTTTCATAACAAACGCTGCCAGTGGGCACCTGGCCAGGAGCAGACTTTCCATCCAAATGCATGGGGATGGACGAGACAACCTGCAGAAAGGTGGAAACAGTTAGCAATCTGATTTTCCAATCCAAGAGAGAATATTGATTGTAAAAAAACAAAAAGCCCAACTAAAATACTAATGCACAGATAATGGATGAAATGGCTGAATTTCAAATGTCACAGTAACAAGTATATCAAGTGTCACGGATGTGGTGCCGCAAGTTAACGGCGTTGACTGTTTATGATTTTGCTTCAGTGAGAAATGTGTATCAAGCTCTGATAGTGTCCCTACACCTAGTGCAGCCTTGTGGAGTCACGTTGTTCTCTGCTTATATTATTATGTGTATACATTACAAGTCAAGCAGCATTGCTTGTACGATATGAATTGTAAATAATGAGGTGAGCACAGAAGTCTAAAGGCACAGCTCTGAGTGCCCCTGTTGAGCTCAAACTCATGATGCAAAAAAGGTCAAGTTTCTGAGAAGTCCATGTGTTCTACACTAGTTTTCCTGAGTGTTCGATGAGAAATGAATACACCAATTACAATGGATCACTTGACTATATTTGTTCAATAGACATTCTATACTTTCAGCACTCATGCATGTCAGCACAGCAAGCCAAATCTTAAGTTAAAATGTACTGTAAAACTTTGTGGAAAAGTTATTCTGTAATTTAGATGTGGGATTACAGGGGGTTCTAATTTCACAATGTACTTACAATTACATCCCCTGCCCCAAAAAGAAAAGACAATGGGCCATGTAAATATAAATATTAGGTGGACAGACAAGGACAGAACCAAAAATAAAATGGTGTTCCTTAACTGGATGAATATAACCATGCAGCACAGTAAAGGGATAGGCGTGCAGGTCTGGCCCCACCTGGCCCGAGATCCGCTCCTCTGGCAGCACCTCTGGCTTTATCTTTAGCAGCTTCACTGCTATGGGCTTGCCAGTGCGCCTGTCAGAGGAAAGCTCAAACTCAACATCATCTGAGGAGAGAGAAGCAGAAGACAACCACACAACAACAATCTGGTTAATGATACACAGACAACTTAAGTTTCAGTAACCCAGCTCAGGTGTTTTAACTATTCATGATTGGAGGACAAGTTCAGAAACTCTCACCTCCTATTTTAAGCTCCTGCAGGTTGCCATTGTACTGGGAACAGTGGAAAAAGAGACGAGCCTGACGTTCTGAGCACTGGATGAACCCGTAGGAGGTCAGTAGCTTCTCCACCACGCCAATCTCTCTAATGCCAGGCCCTGTGCCGTTGGCATATGCAGTGTGTCCATTGTTATGGAGCATGCCAGGGTCAAAACTCATCTGGGGAGAAAGAGAAGCAAGTGTTGAAATGGATCCAGCAGTGGCTCAATATGAAGCAGGCAAAAAACCAAACAGTTTAATGTGGTGTTTAAGGCCAACCTTAAAGAACAAAAACAAACAAAAAAACACTTCAATCATGCAGGTACAGCAAATTTTAGAAGTTGAGAGGCTAAAAAGAAAAAGTAAAGCGACGGTCTTTGGGGGGGTTTCTTCTCTTCCGCAGACAAGAACAGTGAAAATAACTTGATAGAACTTGTTTGAATCTTTACAAAAAAGAAAGAAAAAGACTGGCATTTTCTAGTTTGCTTACAAGTGACATGACATTTAGAAGTCAAAGTTCACTCAAACTTCAAGAGATTTTAGTCTCAGCACCTAAAAACCAACAACCGCATCATTTCATGCAATTTTTGTTAGATACACAAGTGTTTGAAAACCGTTAACTTTCCTCAACAAGCCAACTATCAAATAATAGAAAGTCACTTAATCTGCCTTTACATCCTGGTTTCACTTCACACAGCTACACACCATGCTGTTAGCAAACGCTACATGACCACAGCTGCTCAAAAGGGCCGTTAGAGTCAATGTTTGCACCACCAAACATGCCCTCTTACTGATCTCTGATACAGAGGAGTCCGCTTGTGTTTTTTACTTCCTGGGTGGGGATGACATGAGACGGAAGAGGAGCGGGGTATAGGCACGGGGTCGGTAGAGGAAGAGGGGGTGGGGCCAGTGTTGCGCGCCACTGGTGGTTCGGAAGAGCCTCTTTCCATTTCTGACACTGGGGTTAGGGCTGGGATATGCTGTTGGAAGGAGGCAGCAGCTTTGAAAAGGGAGCAGTGTCATGATCATTTCACATTTTTCGCCAAGCTGCCCCAAGTTGACCCCTGTCTAATGAGCTCAAGTTGCCTTCCACTGGACATGGATACAGTATGCCATGTTGCAGGAACAGTAGAGCCACTGGTCGATTAATAATTTCACAATTGTTTTTTTATTAAATATTCACCATTTCCCTGTTGATTAAGTTACAGCTGCCTTTACAACAAAATGCCCTTTGTATAAAATGAAGACATCCTTGATCCAGACCTCAACATAGATAAAATCACAGAAATACGATACGCTAAATTTGCTTTCTTATTTAAGCCCTTCATGACCTCATTCAAACCCTAAAGGAGTTCCTGAAACCAAAATACCAAGCTGGTATACCGCTCTGTAACGATACTCCTTTACCATGACAAAGTAATCAATCGAATTCAAGACGAGTAGACAACTCCTGTGTATTCCAACAGATTAAAAGACTGAAGAACACCTGAAAATATCGACCAACTTGCACAGCCAGTTCATGGGGAAGTGGTTTAGGTAAGGTGTTGCAAAGTTTACTAAAGGTCGAGTAAAAAAAATAAAAAAAAACTACTGAAGATGGAGAATCAGAAAATGACAGCGGTGCATCTACAGTGAACAGAGTTGGTGATGGGTTATGGGTTATGAGGGGGGTCCCAGAGCAGCCTCTGCTTTCAGGCCCTATCATAAACTTTACAATACTTCGATATTTTCCCAAGGGACCAATAGGTAAGTAATTTGATCCTTTTTGCGATCTTTTCATGAAAGCTACGATTTGAGCGAATTCATGGAATCAGCCTTGATTGAGCCCCACATACATGTCTGATGCCTGGGCGAAATATTTAAGGATTGTGACGCAAAACAAATCTTTTTTCATTCTCAATGAGGAGTCTCTTAAGGAGTTTTGAAACAAAACTAAAACCCCAAATTGAACAAGATTTATCGCCAGAACACCCCTCACCCTGCAACAAAATTGAGTAGAGGCTTGTCTCGGGAGCCCGGAAAGGATGAAAGAGGTTAGGCCATTCACAGCAGAGAAATGCAGGGCAAGGTGGGTGGATGGTGTTCAATGGGGTGGGGCACGTAGAAAAAGAGGTGGGAAGGTGGAACTTACGGATCGGCCATATGGCGACAGGCTGAGTCCGACAGGGGAGGTGCTGCTCAGGTCAGCGCTAACAAACGCGGTGGGTGGCGACGCAGGCAAGGTAAACTCAACAAAGCCTTTCCAGGGGCTGCCCATATTTTCCCATAAACTCGGACCAAACTTCCTCGAGCACTTGTTGAACTTGATTACTTGTCTGTTTTTTTTTTGCTTTTTTTTTGGCTTGACGGTTAAGTTCTATTTCCTATGTAACCACCCAAATGATACACCGCTGGATGTCTGCAAGGGTGAAGAGAAGGAACAAACATAACGGGTAAGGCAGATAGGTCAGCCAGTGTGCCAAGTGTCACAAACAAAAGGAAAAATAGCTGCGGGCTTTTTATCCCCCAGAGGAGGCCGAAATCATGGAGGATAAGATTTGATACAGCAGAACAGGAAAAAGTGCGGGCTGGGTGTGGGAAGGCAATCAAATCAGTCTCAAACTGAAGTGAATAACCCGTTTAACTGTTTGGTGCTGGCAGTTTAGCTGGCTTACATTTAAGGAATATTTATGGCAAATAGAAATGTGGAGGTCACCGACATGATAAAATCTAACAGTTGTAGTATCAATAATTTCAATCACTTCAAGTAAGGAATGTTACACAAGAGCTGCAACTTACAGGAACGTGGGTTGTCACTTCAATTATTTTCTTGAATCATCGACTAGTTATTTGGTCTACAAAATTAGAAATGGGTGAAAAGGGTCATTTTTTCAATGCCCAAGATGAGTTTCAAATGTATTTTTCAGTCCAACTCCAAAAGACGTTCCGTTTAAACGCATATAGATGAAAACAAAAAAACATGCAGTTTTACAAATATGTAATCAAAGGATTTTTAATTCATAAGGCAATAAATGTAATAGTGTACATCTCGTGGATTATTTTTGACGCTTTCTGGCTGAGTTTGTGCTAACCAGTGATAATAGATGCTCTATATAATCATAACCTTAAATTTGGAGGCTCAGACTAATAGATGAGGTCCCAACTATGGATAGACTTTCAATAAAAGCCATTTTTTAAAATAATAGCACAGGTGTTTGTTTGTCCAAGTTAAATATTTATCAAATAAACTATGATAACATATTGGCTGTTATTTGTTCTCAGTGATGGAGGAAAACAATCTAAGTCATGGACATATCAGCACAGCTGTACAAACTAAATCAGAACTGAGTGTTACACAATCTTTGTTTTTCATCTGGATATTAGGGTGGGCAAATAAAGTCTCTGAATACCATCTTATTTGTGGTATCATTACTTTTTATCTGGATTATTAACCCGCATACATGGATATATTTTGAGCAAATTTAGGGAGGAAATCGTTCAAGAATTGACAAAGGAAATCATAAACTGTATTTGAAAAGCACAGTTGTAGTCCCTTCATGTTAGATGCATCATGTAAATTAAAACTGAAACCAACCTTTATTTGTCGTCTTGAATCTTGTAGGTTCCTGCAGATCTCTTCACGCACACAGTTGAAACACACACACACTTGTTACAGGTTTCTGGCACAAGTTCTGGATGGTTGCATAAAGCAAAAAAAGGGGTAGAAATCTAGCACAAAAAAGGCAAACGCAGGTGTAATAACACTGCTTAGAAGAAAATATAATTGAACACAGTGGGAGACGTAGAGGGGGAAAACAGGGGGATCTATGGGGGGAAAAAACTAGCAGACAGCAGCCCACTCCACACCCCGGTGGTGAGTCGGTGGTGTGGTGAGGATGAGGAGGGCTAGGAGCAGCGTTGGGACGTGTGCTTTGTCAAAGCTGTTGAGTAGGCACAAACTTCTGGTTTCAGATCAGTTATTTTCTTCTCAGAATATGCTTGGGTGTTGGATTGCTTCTCTTTCCGCGTTTCAATTGGGCTGATGTGAGTCTTCTTTGGTCGTTAAAGGATTTGGTTACTTCTTGTGTTTTTAAAACCTTGAAGTGATCCTATATTTTGTTTTCCATGTGTCTTCGGTGTTGCAACTTTGCTTGTTTTGGAAGGTTGATCTTCAGTTTCTTTGTTGTGATCTGAACTTGAAGCAGTTGCGGATGGTACAAAAATTCAGTTCCGTGTCACTTCATACTGTTGGAGGAAAAGCGGAATACGTTAGCTTGGCAGAGTTGATTTCTTTTAAACATTTGTAATTAAACAATAAGAGCAGAGAAATTCTGTGACAGTGTTAAATGAACATCATCCTGCATGAACAACAATAAACCCACAAGCACCAGTGGGTTTAAGTTCTGAGATGACTTCATTCTTTGCCCCCAGACTCACAAGTATAAAAATAGGTTTTCCTCAGATGCCTCTTGATATACAGCCCACCCAGGCCCAAAATGTTAGGCAGCTGACAGGCAGGGAAGAGCTGTGGCCCTACCAGTCCTCAGCATACCTTATAGTACATGTTGTTTGGTGCGTGTGTACCATGTGTGTACGTTTTTCTAAACTTCTGTATAACCTACTGATGGAGATCAGTTTTTAACGTAGTGTTGTTGACCCATATACACATCATTGAAAACAAGCAGGATGAGCCAACCAGGGACACATGATATCTATTCTGCTCTGCTGTGACTGTGTCGCAATGTCTCCCACTCTTCTGACTTCCCAGAAGGTTAAATTTTAATGCTGTAAAATATTTAAATGGATTCAGTTTGGCAGGGGGGCTTAAAATCAATCAGATTGAAATCTAAAATGCAGACGAACAACATTAGAAACAACTTTTATCTTTTGTTTGCAACTGAAGGGGATAATTACTGACGAACAAGAACTAAAGCCGTGTGACCCAGTGATAGCACAAACAAAATAGTCAGCTAACACAAGATGGGTTGGCTAAGTGGGTTAAAGGTTGTGAGCAATGAAAAGAAACGACTCCAGTGAAAACAACCTTGGAGGAGAGGGGCTTTTCTGCTCCTCTTTCAGCTTTGGTGACGCAGAAAGAGGAAAACAGTCCACCCACAAAACCACAAGCTCCGATTGTCCGTTTTAGCACAGATAATAAACTAATAGTTTAGCTCGCTTATCTTAAAAAAAGACAGACCAAGGGAGTACAACATAAAGAATGGCCAAAAGATCGCATTTAATGTCAATAGTCTCGTGGTAGTATCCCGATCTGGGCCCGAACAAACACCGCTCTGACAGGACCAGACATGTGACTTCCCAGCAATCCGCCATCCTCAGCTGGAAACGCTAATACGGCCTGATCCGGATCCAACACGTTGCGGCAGGAGAGCTGTCGAAAACGTCGCATCTAATGCTAACCAGCACGTTTTGCACAAATCCCACAATCACAACATGCTTTTTAAACAAATCCCACATATCATAGCGTTCGCACTTTTCACTGCTTATTACACCCGGTTATTTACAATCACAATAAACCTAATCTTCTTAATGACCTTGCGTGGACAAACAGAACAAGGCTGATTAGCATGTTGCTAACGCTATAGTGGTAAACAGCGAATCCCCCCCCCCCCCCCGGGCGTTTCCAACTCTTAATGCTCAATGAAAATTAATTCACTGCATCAGGCAAATCGCAGCACTTTAGCTGAATTGTTGTTTTGTTTTTACATTTGGTTGTATGCGTTTTTTAAGTTTGGTACATTTCGCAGACCAGACTCCGTGTGAAAAACTGCTTGTTTTGGATGTTTTGTGGTCACTCAGCATGATTACGCTTCATTAGCAATTTTTTCAAGGCTTGGTACAGTGACATTGTTGTCATGGAAACTTCGGCATATAAAAATCGTACTTTGTAGAAGTGGTGCACTGTCAGAAACAATGTACAGACAGACAGAAGCTGAGTCGACTGACAGACAGACTGAACCCCGAACCATTCTGGTTTAAGTAAAGGGGGTTTCGTACTTTCCCTTTGTACAATGCTAAACTGTATTGTCAGTACAGTACGGATTTGAACCTCTTCCTTTAACGGGAAGACAACGTTAAAGGAGCTAACAACACGAGGACGGGACAACAAAGAAGCTACGCCAACCGATTTGAGGCTCGTACTCTGCTCCTAGTGTGTGTCAGAAATGTCCCCAAACGAACATTTTAATCAAGTGTTGTTTGTTTTGACACAACAGAGCAACATTTTCAAAAACACAGCGTTGTCTATCAGCATGTTTGACACTTCATTTATACAGGGCGTACATAATGCTACGTGGCTAATAGCCGCTACAGTTAGCTAGCATGCTGCTGCTGTGTGGTGATTTATGGAGAGGAAAAACACGGCAGCCCCCACCCAGGCCCGACCTCTGCGTATGACTTTGTTCAAGATACCCCATTCAATTCTAAACACCTACTTTACAGGAAAAGACTACGTTTAATAACTCCTTCAGAAAAAGTGATGTTTTAAACAGATATATTAATAAAAACTCACCCCAACAGCTTTCAGCACTGTCACCAGCGCCGCTAGAAGCAGCACGGCACATTACGTAGTGATTAGGGAAGCGGATACCGCGATATTTGACAGCGCCCGGTCGACCAAAGAGCCTATCGAAAGAAAGAGTGACCTCTGCTCTGCTGATGCTTATGGGTAACTAATATTGCGATCTTGCACTGATTAATGGGGGCCTGGGTATACATATGTGGGGAAGTTGTTGTAATACTTTCTAGCTTGCTATAGGGACTCAAAAATCGTGTAACTGTTCATTTATGCTTTTTAAAAATGGTCGTCAGAATTTCAATCACCAGTTCCGGTCACTGAAGTCGACACATCCAACATTAAACTCTTCACAGTGACATATCTTCCTGACAATAGAATTTCTAAGGGCACACGTAGCAACTTGGGGGTGTTTTCAAGAATGAAATCTAGTGGGGAGAAATGTCATTTAAGGCCACAACACTTCTCAATTAAACTGGAAGTTGTTGTTGTTGTATTCATAATTGCGAATATTCTAAAACAAAACCAAGTTTAAACGACTGGCGGAATGAGTTAAAACTCTTATATTAGTCATTTTAAGTTGGTTAAGACAATAAAGACTTTAAATTGTTTTAATTAATAAAAAGGCTTGACATAAGTTGAGACTGCGTTCAGTTATTTATTCCCCTTGAATTGGTGATGTTTAAGAATGGACAACACTGTTGTCCACACCAGATTTTGAAAATATAGGCGTATTTATAAATGTATGTATTTGAAAAATACAATTTGCCAATGACAGACCTTAAAGATAATGCCTGTTTGTGATAGGTGATTACTTCACCTTCAATAACATAGGTAATGCATAAATAACCATGACTAAATGTGTTCCTTTAAATTCACTTTATTTGTGTGTATTGACATGAGACAGAGGGAAAGCAGTAATAATTATAATTAGATAACACAAAAATGCTGGCTTAACATGGTTCAATTGTCAGTTCTTTGTCGGAAATAAACTGAACTTCACAAAATTCAAAACGAGAAAAAGTTTTTTATGTTGGTTTAGAAGGTGAGGGATGTCAACGCAATCAAGAATATCTTCCCTGTTGCTCAGCTGTTTTGTCTGATTTATTTCAGAATCATTGCCTAAATTTAGCTTCAGTTATCAAATTAATCGGACAGTTATATCTACACCCTCCAGCAGATGGCGATATACAAAGTGTTTAGTTTGCGATGGTTGATTATTAATACAAAAGAAGAAGACGGAACGGAAGTGACGTTTCAGTTCAGTGTCAAACGGAAACGAAAGACTTGACAACAATCCCGAGTGAATAATTCTCCTGTAATTTAATTAACTCCTCAATCTGTTTCTTCCAGATATTTTCGAGGATTCGAAAAGTTTTTATTCGTCGCCTTGAATACATACAGTGACTTTAGTCGACAGCCAGCCACACTAACGCTAAAGCTGCGACATTTTTAAACCAAACGTAAGCTGCTGTTGTTGTACAGGAGCTAGCTGTCGGTATAGGAGTTCACACCTGTCAGTAAATGGCCTGCACTCTTGAAAAAGTGTTGGGCGATGCCCGGACCCTTCTGGAGAGGCTGAAAGAGCACGACACGGCCGCAGAGGGACTGATAGAGCAGTCCGGGGCCCTCAGCCAGAGGGTGCACAGCATGAAAGAGGTGGGGAATGCCCTTCCTGACAAGGTGAGGATAAAGACATCATAAGACATTCACTTAGCATGGCTACGTCAAGCTTCAAATACCTTAAATAAAGTGTGTGTGTGTGTGTGTGTGTGTGTGTGTGTGTGTGTGTGTGTGTGTGTGTGTGTGTGTGTGTGTGTGTGTGTGTGTGTGTGTGTGTGTGTGTGTGTGTGTGTGTGTGTGTGTGTGTGTGTGTGTGTGTGTGTGTGTGTGTGTGTGTGTGTGTAAATTAATTAATTAATTGTGTGTGTGTGTGATTATATAAATTAATTAATTAATTGTGTGTGTGTGTGATTATATAGTTGTCTTGCAAAATATAAATTAATCGCAAATGTGATCTTTATCCTGGGCCATGTATTGCATATCGTTTCGTGAGTTACCCTCGGACTCCCACCTCTTAATATTTACTTTATAATTATGTGTGTTTGAGATCAGAGCCACATGTTGTTTCTACACCTAATTCATTATTTATTTGGCTTTCTCCTCCAAGCACATAGAAGACACTTCAGAGATCCAGGAGCTGACCAAATACAAGCCTCATGTCCTTTTAACTCAGGAAAACACACAAATCAAGGAACTGCAGCAGGAGAATAAAGGTACAAACACACTGCTCTGTCTTTGGAATGACTGGTGTTAAACGTGTTCAACGTCTTTGCTAATGCCTGTATTCCTGCCTCTCCAGAGCTATGGTTGTCTCTTGAAGAGCACCAGTATGCACTGGAACTGATCATGGGTCGATACCGTAAGCAGATGCTCCAGCTGATGATGGCCAAGAAAGAGCTGGACACTAAACCTGTGCTCACCCTCCACGAGGACCACGCCAAAGTAACCTGCTGATATAACTGTTAATTGGTTGTAGATTAGGAGTTTAATTTTCTTTAAAGTGTATTGATCCCGGGAAACGTCTTGTTTTTCCTGTTTTCCTTCAGGAAGTGCAGAGCCAATTGGAGCGAATATGTGAGATGGGACAGGTGATGAGAAGAGCGGTGCAGGTGGATGATCAGCACTACTGCTCTGTTAGAGAGAGGCTTGCACAGCTAGAGGTAAGCACAGTGCTGTTCTTGAGAGTTTTCTCCCTAAATATCATCAACATCATCAATATCATTAAGTGTGTAGGTGTTCATAAAGAGCTGAGTCTTCAGCTTTTACTTAAAATGGACTCTGCAGATCGAAGAAGTGTATTTAATTTGTTCCACCACAGGGGGTGACAGAGGAGAAGAGTAGCTCATATATACAGTATATATATTTCCTTTACCTTTACTGTATTAAGGTGGAAATCCAAATACCACTTGAAAATGTTAGGGGATGTATTTTAGGTAAACTGTCCATTTATCTCACAAGATTCTGTCTGAACCTTTTTTATCTCCTAATTAATCAAATATTCTGTGTGTATCAGATTGAGAACAAGGAGCTGCGAGACCTCCTGGTCATCAGCAAGGCCTCGGTGAAGACAGCGAGAGAAGAAACTAACCAGCCAACAGCAGCACAAGAACAAAAAGAGTCCCCTGAGCCAGCAGACGACGAGTAAACAGAGCAACTCTGAAATGAACTGTGATCGTGAAAATGACACCTTCAGGACCAGGAGACAGGGTGGATGTTCTCTTTACCTAAAATCACCACATTATTTTTTTATCTTAAGGTGGAATGCAGTCAAACCACAAGCATATTTTTTATTAGTGAAGGCCCCTCAAACACAGCACCTTCTTTACCTTTGGGATCTCTGTTGATGGTAGCTATTGTTAATATGTGTTCAGCATGGGATGTATCACTGCAGTCTTGTTGGAGTGACAGTCACACTTTCACCTTGATATTTTATAAAATGTCTTGGTCATCGCTCAAAGAGCTATGAATGGTTTACTCTTAACGGAAATGGTCTCTACCTCTTTGATGCCCCTTTGCTGTTCACACACACACACACACACACACACACACTCACAAAGTGTTTGTTATCATCCATGCTATTTCTTCACTTGAAGTCCAACTTGTGTTCTTCACAATGTTTGGAGGTTGTGCTTGATAATCACTGCCAACAATATGTCTTTGGCTGTTTCACAGTATGCCTGCTAAGGAGTGACAGTGGATCATTTATATGTGATTGTCTGATCATTTTATGAATTTGATATGTCTGTCAGTCAGTTTGTAGAGTTCACAGATAACAACAACATATTTTCCATGTTTCGTATTTTGATTCTGTGCATTAAATACTAGTTTTGTAATTTTCAGATTTGGATACAGAGTAATCGAGCTGATGGAACATCTTTATTTAACTATTTGAAAACATGGCAACTTCTATTGTAAACGGTATCAAATGTTTGAAGACTGTATATTGTGAGAAATTAAATATTGTCATCTCAGGAAATCAGTGTTAAAAGGGTGGACATGCTGTAATGACTTCATGACAGTTTACTGATCTGTGTCAAATGAGATTTCGTGTAGAAACTTAACAATAAATTTGCAACAAAAAAACGTACGCAAATGAGATTTTTTTCCCCATCTGTCAAAACATAAATGTGCAGTATAGTGGTGTCATGTTTTCCACTGTTGAACGGTTATTTGTGTAGGTCCCTCTACCTTTTGTAATCCCTTAGTAAAGTCTTTAAAAGACTGATTTAGTGCTACCACTGATTGCCTTAATCATTAATTCTATTATTTCATGAAATTCTATAGTTGCATAATTTTTCTCAATTTCTTTTAAGAGATATTGTCGTAACTGTAAAAATCTAAAAGTCAGAACTTTCCAAGTTATACTCTTCTCTTACACTTTGAAAGCTTTGAAATGTTTTCTCCATTATTTTACAATACACAGCGACACCTATATTTGTACATTAACCTTTTTATAATTGTGCAGTATAAAGAGTATACAGAGTAGAGAATATAAAGTAAAGTATTATTGATCTATTATAACAATCTATTATTTTATCATTTACCACCATAGACTGTAAATAATAAGTTTACCACAGGATGGCGACTTTAAGCCACTACAGGTATGAGGCGTCGCGATGTTTCGAATACTGGCGTAATGTTGCGTTCATTCAAACAGGGGTAAATTAAGTTTCATATACAATGTGTTATTTACATTGAAAGTTTCAATAAAAACATATTAAAAAGTGGCAAAGTTACATAAACATATACTTGGGTGCTTCAAATCCTCTGCATTCTCGCATTTGTTGCTCACCAAAGCGTATAAATTGCAGTAATTTGAATATATCCAATTGCGCCTGAACGCAGCACCTTAGCTGCATTTGACACTTCTAGCCCGACACAAGCTAATGTTCAGTATGTCTGAGAAGGAGCTGGGAAAAAAGTGGGACCGATGCCTGGCTGACGGTGCCATTAAGATCGGTAAATATCCCAAAGATTTTGCTTATAAAAACAATTCAATGTGTCCGTACAAGGTTAAAAAATAAGCTGTAGTTTTGACCGTAGTGTACAGCTGTCATTGACTGGGAGAGGCTAACTAGCTAGCCATAAAGGGCTTGTAAAGGACAACTGAATGACCAGTCAGATATCTACAAATGTTTGTTTCTCTTTCGTTTATAAACGCAAAACTTATTCATTTTTTCAGTATGGTTACTCTAAAATAATTTCACCCAACTTGGATTTGGTTGTTAAAAAAAAACTATGCGAAACCCCCATTAAGAAATGTTAAATTGTTTCTTTCCAGCTGTATCATAACGTAAATCCTTTATATGATGCATGTAAATACATTTTATGAGACAGTAATATTTACTTTTAAATTCGGCTTACACATGAAACATAAAAACACATTTATTTTAGTATGGTAGAAACTTTCCATTGCGTAGGCTTCCTGTCCCACACAACCAAAAACTAGTTAAGGATGGCGCTAGGGAGCTGGGTGGTGCTGATTATCTATTCAAATAAGGTGTTTTGGTTTTAATCACTTTTATTGTAGGCTTCTGGATCCAGTAACTTAGCACTAAAAAGTAAAATCAGGTGCATATACAGCTATTATGAACAGTACAATAAAATGAGACGATTTCTGAATGAGGTTTGGTGTGACGTCACCTCCACAGCTTTAACTCTAAAAGGAGACTTACCTGCCCCAAGTTTTTAAGCATGCTCGAGACAAACTGAACAGCAGGTGTAATCGCTGTTAGTCAGGTGTGAGATGAAATTAAACTATATTATAAATCATGAGAACAGTGCTGTACTTAGTATCACACTGCTTGCCTTTATAAATGAGAGAATACGTTAAGAAAAACAAGAGTTTAAAAGTTATGATACTGGTTATCAAAAAGGATATAAGATGGAGCCATGGCTGAAAGATGTACAGCATAAAAATACAACCATATACAAGCAAGGGGTAGCATGAGAAGCATGTGTTCTCATGAATCAATTAAATAAATACAAATAAAGTGAGAGTACTAGTATAAATGACTTGTCAATGAAAGGGACAGAGACATCCATGTAATAATGTTTTCCTGTTTTTCCAGGTACCGGGCTGGGGTTAGGAATCGTGTTTTCTGTTCTGTTCTTCAAACGTGAGTATATAGTATAACAGGTTCTTGTCCTGTGCCTTTAACCTGTAATCTAGCTCAGACGTCCTTGACAAGAGGAGTAGAGACAGGAGAGATAACCTGTAGTAACCGCAGCAAATACAAATGCACTTCTGAAAAATGCATCAGATGTAATTAAAAAAAAAAGGAATACTAAAATAAGGCCAAAATAGCTAAATGGTATGATTGCATTTGTTCAGTGTTTGACAGGACACATCCAGCACTAAGAGACCTCAAAGTAAGCATCATCCTGAAGTGCTGATGGCCTAACCATTAGGTTACCAGAGGCTGTGGTCCTTCAAGTGGGCGGCCTGGGTTCAAGTCTGACCTGTGGCTCATTGTCCACATTTCATTCCCCACTCTCTCTCCCAATTCCCCACTCTATCCACTGTGCTGTCTAAATAAAGAGATAAAGCCCAAAAATAAATCTTGAAAAAAAAAGTAAAAATCATCCTAATTCACAAAATCTTACTATGTTGGACAAGTTGTGCCTTTTGAAAATGTTTTCCTTTGTTTTTTGAAGCACTAAAGTCATCTGACAAAGCCTGCAGCTAAACACGGTGGCTTCATCACAGCGTATATTTAAATTGTTGCTATTTTTAAAAAAAAGTTGTTTTTAATATGCATTCATAGTTGAGAGTAATCATTGGGTTTTATTTTGAGAAGAGCACCAATAATGGCTAGCCAGAGAGGAGCATGATGTGAATATTAATGTTAAGAACAAGACAAGGTGTCACAACAAGAGTGTGAATAAGATTTTCACACGCCATCTCTGCTGTGTTTAAAAAAAAAAAAATTAAAGCGTGAAGTGCATTTCTGTGAGAGATTAAAGTACCATTACCCATTTCATTCGTAGGGCACACGTGGCCTATTTCCCTGGGCTCAGGAGCAGGACTTGGGATGGCATATGCCAACTGTCAGAACGACCTGCGGTCACATTATATGCTGCAAAGAAGTGAAAAGGTTGGTTTGTGCAAAAGAACACACAATATAAAAATAACTGAGTATTTTATGGTCTGTATCTCAGAATAACAACCCTGTGTCTTTTATGTTAATGAAGATTTGATTTCTTTTTTTCCTGACAGGAGCAGTAGCTGCAACTCAGAGGGACTGTCTTTTTTATTTTTTTGCACTTGTTTGTTTTGTCTGTGGGAGAGTCACCATTTGCACTGTTCTGCAGTAAGATCCCGTCTCCCTGTTGAACGATCCATCCCTAGTATGACTCTGTATGATTTGTTTGTGCCTGATCAGGACAGTCTGTGTTTATTTAATAAAATAATCAAATGTTTCGCTGATGAGTCATTTGTGTCTCTTTGATGCTGTGTAATGGATGCACACATGTCAAAATCTTTCAACAAAGCAGTATTAAAATGGATTTAAATTGATATATTCTACTTTGACACTCCAGGTGGAAATGATTGCACTTGAGGGAGTAAATGGAGTCAAGTTCAAAAGCAGCTTTGAAAAGGTGGGGCTTTCAGTTTATTTCTGAATGCGAGTGGGAGTGCTTTTTTTTTTTTTTTCCCGAAAGGTGTCGTGGAGAAAGGAGAGGACTGCACCACAAACGCTCGCCCATAAGGTGGTGGGCTCGGTGTGGGTGAGACAGGGGTCAGAAGGTTGGCAGCAGCTGATCTGATGTGGCAGATTACAGGGGCGTAGTGATAGAGGGGATTAGTCAGTCATGAGGGGGCATGGAAATTGAGCGCTTTGCATATTTTGTGTCGTGTTTGACAAAGCTGTTGAGATGCAGGAGAGCATTGGATTTTACACCCTGTAGGCTGTTTTATGATATTTAATATTCAAGTGTTCCTGTTGAGAGAAAAATAATGAAATCGATAATTATCATTCAACGAATAATTATTAATGTCATGTTGTCTGTAATGAGAATAATGTAGGAGCAAGGTGAGGTGGTCTTTTGTTTTCTGATATGTGCTAGAACAGTGGACGTACATTTGTTCGCTGACACTAAACGTGATTATCTTGTATATCTTTGTATTTAAAATGAATGATTGTATGAAATATTAAGATTTATTTGTTCATATTTCATAAAGTCAGTAAAATAACTGTGCTTTTGGTTTTGTGTACAGAAAAAAAATATAAATGGAAAATGAAAACAAATCCTTAATTTTGAATGTTAATCTACTTATAAAATGCAAAATAATGTAAATCCATGCACTCTACTTTTGCGCCTAATTAATTCAGTCACATTCGTTCAGTCACCACATAAGCTACACTGGAGATCACTTGTGTATAATCAAGTTGTGCCATGTACGGAAGCCCTGAGTGGACATACGGCCATACATCCTAACATTTTTAGATTAATTTAGCCATCAATATCATCATCATCATTGTCAGTCCCATCACTCATTAAGTGCATAGATGCTCAAGAAAAAGCTGGGTCTTCAGCTTTTTCTCAAAGGTGGAACGGGACTCTGCAGATCGAATGTAGTTTGGTAATTAATTCCACCACCAGGGGGCGACAGAGGAGCAAGTCTAAAAAAAGATACTTGGGGCCCTTTGGTGAAGGTTGGTCCAGGCACGCTTCATTGGCAGAGTGTAGTGGGCAGGTGAGCACTGGCGGACTCGGGATGTTTGAGAGGCAGGGCGGAAATAATCAGAAGGGCACCTGCTCAATGCAGCGGGGCACCAGTGTGCAAAAAGTCGTCATACATTTAAAGTGGAATAGTTATAGCTAAAGGGCACCCAGGAGGACGCTTCATCATATTTAATCTACTACTGCGGGGCATTCAAGAGGGCACAGTCACATTCAAGTTTTTTTGTTGTTGCCATTTTTGTCGACATGGTTTTTAATTTGATGCAAGTAGCAACTGGGAGCCAGTGGAGGGATATGAAGAGCGGAGTGATTCACTGCTGCATTTTGGATCATCTGCAGAGGTTTGATATCCATACATTTTTTTCCCTCAGGTTTCCTGTGATAACAGATAATTCACAGTTGTTGTTTTTCTCAAGACGTCGGCTAATCTAACGTTATCCTAAAATAATGACTAAGTTGAGATCTTGAGGAAAAAAAACGGATATGCACTCATTATCACTTGACAATTAAATTAAAAAGAAAAACAACAGATGCATATCTGCTTAAAGCTTTCTATAGGCCAAGTGATACGAGGTTAATTCACCTTTAATCTCAGTTGCGGGGACAAAGGTGTTGATGAAATGTTGAAATAAATCAGAGACAAGATAACTGAATTTAGAACAATACAAAAACATTTCTATGGCATGAACTATGGACCAACAGAGCTTAATTATATGTGTTTTAATTCTGTCTTATCAAAAAGCGGGGAGGGTGCTATCTTTTTAAGGAATGAATGGAGCCTATTACTACCACTTCATGAATCCAGGATGACTCCTTTGATAGATCTGACTCACTCTGCTATTGTACACTGAAATGGAGAACGCATAATTTCAGATGAAGTCATTTTTCAAAAAGATTTAACATTTAAGGAAAAAGTAGTCAAATCAAACCATTAATATAACTACAAGAGAGCTATGATAGTTGTACCTCAGTTATTAAGATCACCAAGACCAGACATGAAAGGAAAAAAAAAACACCCACACCAGCTCCTATGATGTGAAATTAGCATTTGTTGGCTGTGATTGTGCATGGTTATGCATTAGCAGCACAATGCTTTGACACGCTCCTTCTCGGGAGCTGTGCGCTCTGACTGGGAGGCGCGCTGGAGTGGCCGACACAGGGATTAACAGGAGCGAGGGATAAAAAGGCAGCATCACAAGGACCATGATACCTGTGGAGCACTTATGAATGGAGAGTCTTGCTTACAAATGACTGCTGCTCAGTTTTTTTCTGTTGGATATTGCTTCCCTTTCAGGATCTCGAAGAAGAAAAAGGGATTTGTGAGAGGCAGAAGAGCTGCAGCTCAGCAAAGGACTTGCTGATGCTGTACAATCTCACTTCTGTGAGGTGAGGTGTAATTCTCAGCATTGGTCCTTGTTCTTTTTCATCTTCAGTTGTTCCTCTCACCAGCACGGCTCTCGAATGCCTGGTCGAGCATTTCTCTCCGTGTTTCCCTCCTCCAGTGGCTGTCATCATTGTGACTTGCTGCTTCGAAAACCACCCTCTGTCAGTCATCGCTCATTCTGGCTCCTAGCTGTGGATCAGTCAGGGACATGCTGGAGAGGATGGAGAGATGAGTGAAACTGTGTTGGTTATTTTGATACTGGTGGCAGTGGAAGTAAACCCAGGGCTTCTGGATATATTTATGCCAAAGGAAGAGGGTGATTTCTACAAGTGGAGAACAGTTTGGATAGGAAGAGGGTTGGATGGATTCTCAACACAATACCTCAGTTGACAATGAACCTGTAGTGAAAGTGTTTGCTGTCAAGGAGGACCAGTTTAGGTTTTCTTATTGCTGCCTGAAGAAGAGCCTCCAGGAGCTGCTCCATTGATTGTTGCTAACCAGCACGATGGCTGACTCTTACACTTCCAGCTTTGTGGGAAGCTACAACAGCAACTCTTCAACCACCAGCGCTTGGAACATCACCGGCAGCGGCCCTTGGCTGTTGGCCTTCATGCTCACAATCATCATCCTCATGACGATTTGTGGGAACATGTTGTTGATCGCTTTGGTGTTTGCCCATCGCTCTTTGCGTTGCACCTCAAACTGTTTCCTTGTTTCTCTGTTCCTGTCTGACCTCATGGTGGCCCTGGTGGTGATGCCTCCAGCCATGCTCAATGTGCTCTGCGGGGCCTGGGTTCTGTGGCCAGCCTTTTGCCCAATTTGGCTTTGCTTTGACGTCATGTGCTGCAGCGCCTCCATCCTCAACCTGTGTGTGATCAGCCTGGACCGCTACCTCTTTATCATCTCGCCGCTGCGCTACAAGCAGAGGATGACCCCGCCTCGGGCATTGCTTCTGGTAGGAGCTGCCTGGGGTTTGGCAGCTTTGGCCTCCTTCCTGCCTATTGAGATGAAATGGCACAGCTTAGGTCACTGGAGTGGACAATCGTCTGTTCCTGGTTTAGGCAGTAGCAACACCAGCGCTTACTTCGACACACTGTACCCTGCATCCTACTTTCAGCTGTCACCGTCAGGAGGCCTTTCTTTCCAGTGTCGCCTGAGGGTCACCCTTCCCTTTGCCCTGGTGGCATCTGTACTCACTTTCTTTTTGCCCTCCAGCGCAATTTGCTTCACCTACTGCCGGATTCTTCTAGCAGCAAGAAGGCAAGCGAAGAGGGTGGCAGCACTTAGCCACCCACCACACCCACATCCGTCACTCGGGGAACCCTCCAGGCCTCCTTCACCTGGGATGGCAGCAGGCATAGCTCAGCCGGACGGAGACGACTGCAGTCACCAGGAGCCTCCTGTGTCTCAAAATGTACCGGTAAGAAACAGGGACCAAACTGTACAACAAACCAGTCAAGGTGAACAAATTCAATTACTTTTTTAAAGATTTTATTGGGGCTTTTATAACTTTATTAGATAGGACAGCTTTAGAGAGACAGGAAATCTGGGGAGGGGGGGGTGAGAATGACTTGCACCAATTAGCGACAGGACTGGGAGTAGAACCGGCAACAAGTGCAACAAGGACTCTCTACATGAGGCACCTGCTCTGCTGACTGAGCAAAACACACACCCCACAATATATTCTATTTTTTAGTACAATTTCTAAGAAGAAGGCAGACTGTGATGCCTCAGCAGTGATTCAAAAATAGCAGACTGGCCTTTAAAGTGGAACAGAACTTAATGAGAGTAGGAGCTGAAAAGGTTGCGAGAGGCGAAGGTGGCGCAAAGATCATAACCAAATTACACTTGTCCATCTATTGCAAGATTTCTCAAGCTTGACATTTTGAAGTTTTATATAACACCGTTCATATCTACCATTCCCCTAAAGTACAAATTTCACCATTAAAATCCACTCCACAGTTAAGTATCATTGGAGTGCAGCAATTTCTTCCTGGAGATTCAATTTTATGTGACAATAAGCCGCTGCTGCTTTCAATTGGTAAAGCCTTTAGAAAAGCTGCAGGAAAGCTTGTTTTTGGCTGCCAAATTAGAATTTTTACCTACAGGACATTTTGAGTCTAGACACGCTTGACTTTTCTGTTATGTTTGATTATAAAGGCACTTTAAAGTTTACCAGTTAGAAAAGTATGACTGACTTCGACTTCTTTTGTGCAAAGAACGTTGTGTGCACTATTGCTTGGACATCATGGTGCAGGTGTAAAAGTGTTCACACATGTGTGTCGTATCATGATAGGATGTTCCCTTTCTCAATGAAAAGGATCAGTGTGAAGGTTTGCATCCTTTCAATCGAGGCTTTGCAGTCATAAAAGAGAAGTGATGTGAAAGGCTGTTGTATAGCTGCATATCACTGAACATGAACCAATACAAAACTATGTGTGACTGCAGGAACTGTGAGATGAAGTCATTCCTAAACTTTCATTCATTTAGAAATTAATTCATAAATAAATGTAAATGTTTCTGCTGAAGCTGGTATATGATTTTAAATCAAAAAACATTATGCTCTTCAGTTAGTTAAACCATGGAGTGTCTTTAAAAAAGTAGGGACGCAGGGGAAGGGAAGAGGTCTAAAACCTGCCATGACAGCTTACATAGAAAATTGCAGACATTGTGACAGATGTGCTACCCTCGTCTGAAAGGGTCACAGCCACATCGTCTGTCACATTTGCAGGCAGTAGATTCACACACGCACAATAGAACAGTCAGTTCTGATCTGGTTCTCAAAGAAGCTGCTGAATTTAGTCTAACCCTGTGACATTAAGTTCTTCCATTAGATCGTTTGTTGAATAATCTCTTTTGTTTATTCATAATAAAAAATATACATCAGCCCAAAAGTACATGTCCTTTTAAAATGTCCTGTGCATATTTTTTTCACATTTTCCGCCAAAAAAATGAATGAAGCCGGAAATGTTTGGTTTCGTTTGGCAGCTTAACAAAAGTTTAAACTCAAATTCTATGGTTTCAAGTATTTGGCTTACAGCTTGAATGGCAGATAATTGTTTCACCATAATTCTCTTCTAGGCATTAAATTAAGAAATTATCAAAAAAAATGGATATTTGGAGAAATGTGCTTACTTTCCGAGGGTTAGATGCGAAGAAATCTGTGTGTTAGTGATGGATCTAAGCAGATGCTTAGCTTAGCATAAATGCTAACTCTGTGCAACACTTAGCCTAGCTCTGTCCAAATTAAAAGAATCTGGTGTTTCGACATTACTTTCCCTTTAACAAGATAAATGAAAACACAAGATTTTGGCTTAAAGCTCCAAAATGTTGCAGCTCGTAACTCCCTGAAATAAATAAACACCAAACGTCTTCCTTTTACTCTCAACAGATAAAACGAAACAAGTGCTTGTGGCTGTTCATGTCTCAGAGCTAATCTTAGCCAAGCTCACTGTTTGTTCTAGAGATTTACACAACTTTGCACAAAGATTGTAGTTATCTTCATCAAAATCAATAAAGCAAATAATTAACCAAAAATGATTAATCATTTTGTTCATTTTGGCCACAAGCTTGCTTCAGTGCATATATTAAACAAAATACCAATAAAGGGAAAGTAAATTTACATTGTAACTGTTTTATTTTCTGTCTACAGCCGTCAGTGACCAGTGAGCGTCGTCTGGCTCACAGGCAGGGTCGGAGGGCGCTAAAGGCCAGTCTGACACTTGGAGTCCTCCTGGGACTTTTCTTCAGTGCGTGGCTACCTTTCTTCATCACCAACATGGCTCAGGTGAGATGAGCAACCAGACACAGAACATAAGTCAATAAATAAAAAAAGAAGAAAGCAAGTCACAAACTCTGTGGCTGAAAAACGTATATAACAGCAAAGTACTGTAAAATGCAGTTCCTTGTATGGCCACTTGAGGTTGTCTCAAAAGAGACTCCCTTTCATAGACCTCCATTTTATAATACTCAATTTTACAGCAGGAATAAACTCGCATATACAGACTAAAAGAAAAACACTTTTGGTATTGATAGTTACTTTTTAAAGATAATTTGCCCAAATGGAGTAAGGCTAAGTCGTGCATATTTAAAGGCGTCTGACAGATATGGGCTTGAAGCTGTCACATTAGCTTATTCAATTCACTGAATTTGACCTCTATGGTAGGTCCTATTTGTCTAAATATGGTCACAAATAACTAACAATAACAATATGACAAATGAGGATGGCAAAAACTGTCTGCCTCACAAACCTGTGGGTGTCATCGAGGTGGCTTTGTCCAGAAACATGAAATATCAATCTGATGCGTAAAACAAATCATGGATGATAAATATATAATTTGACGAGCTTGGAGAGGGGATTGGCTTTAAAGGGTCCAGGTTGCCTTTGCACATTTGATTTTCAGCACTGTTCAAATAGCCTCGGGTAGATTTCCTCTTTTTGAATAGCTCTTCTAATCCATACATCCCAGTGACTCACAGTTGTGGGGCACTAAAACAGTGTGAAGTAAATGCATTATAAAAATGAGAAAGAAGTGCACAGGCACAAAAAAAAAAAACACTTGGATACTGTTCTATTTTTGTAATGGCCATCCTTGGCGTCACATCCTCGCCAAGCGATCCAACAAAGAAATAGATTGGCATTTCAGCTTTGTGTGGCTGACTCACAGTGAAAACAAAGAACACAATAAACACTGATGTGCCGTTAATAATTGGTCTTATTTTTAAGTTGTTGATTTCGATCTGATTAGACAACCTCACACACTCATTACTCAGCGGGCAGACAGAGGCGGACATGGAAAAAAAAAACCTGAGCGAGAGTAAATGAATGTCAGAAAACAGCTTCATCTAAATTGGTAATGACACTTGTCCTGTTTTTCAAGCTTTCAATGATCCAGTCATTTTGATTTCCCATCTGTGCCCTCTCGCTTCTCCCCTGCACAACATAGAGCACAGAGACTTGACTGTGTCTGCTCTCTCCTTCCTTTTCACACTCAATGTGGTGTGTGAAACGCACCCCTCCTTTCCCGTCCTGCTCCCACCGCCTCCCCATCTCATCTCGATAGTATTGGAAGCTCTCCTCTAACAGCTGTCTCCTCCTTCAATGTCCTTATCTAAAATCTAAATCTAAAGGTTCAAACGGCAAACACTGTTAACCAAAAAGACACAAATGTGTTTTAAAGTCCCATTCAGGGAGAATGAGACGTTTCAAAGAAAGACGAGAAGTGATTTGTGGGTGGGGGGAAAACAACCCTTCCTTTTTTTTTTTTTTAATAGGAATACATTTGAATAATTTTACATTTGTTTATCTAGTTCTTCCTTTCTGTGTATATTTCCTTCAGAGCTAAATTATTATCTTCCATTTTTTTTGTTACTCTCAAGCTACATCAAATCAAAAACACACAAGTTCATTAAATGAATGACGTATGAGTCAATGAATGGGAATGATTGGCTTAAAAAAAATACTAAAACTCATCCATAAAGCAGAAGTGAACATATTTTTTCTTTATTTAAATTAAATTTCGGCCATAAAATAATATTAATTTAGGTGACTTAAAAAAATGTTTTTCTAAATGTGTCTGCTTTGTCAGGTTATGGTTTGAATGTCTCTTTCTGTGATTCATTCGTCTCGTGTTGTATTTTAGTTTGATAATAGAATATTTTGGATACTCCATGTGTCATTTCGTACCTCATTTATTTTCTACAGCTTTATTTCTGCAATAAATTATCCACAATCTTTCATTAAATGTATTTCTGTCACCTCGATGCCTTCAATTATTTCCACCGTCTTCATTCAGGCAGTGTGCGAGTGCGTCCCTCTTGCACTCTTTGACGCCATCACCTGGCTGGGATACTGCAACAGCACGATGAACCCCATCATCTACCCGCTCTTCATGAGAGACTTCAAGCGAGCTCTGGGGAAGGTCCTGCCCTGCTGTTTCTCGAGGTCAATCAGAAGACCCTCACCGGCGCTCTCCCTTTCCCTCAGAAACTCAGGAGAGCCAAACAACGCCAGCAGCCCCCCCTCTCCGCTGGCCTCTGACCCCACACACCCTCCCGCCACCGCAACGGACGCTGTCAACCTGCTGGATGCTGAACACGCTGGCATCGAGCTGCCTCTGCTGCTGCCCAATCAGGTCGAGAGTCTTGATTAAACGCCAATTATGTAAAAAAAAAAAAAAAAAAGTCAGTAAATGTTTCCTGTCAGGGTTTAAGTATTAAGCCTAATGTTTGTGCAGCAGTGGTGAAGGGGTTTTGACCTAAGAAGCAAAAAGAGATTTGTATTTGATTTAAAAATGTGTTCATGAATCATTTTGAACACACCACATCAAACATTGTCAACCAATCCGATTGTTTGCTCAGCTGTGGTGATGCTCTGCCACATGAGCTGCAGAGCAGAGTGATGTACATGAAGAGTTGAAGAGCGCTCTGTTGGACAAACTAAGGGATTAAACTATTTCTTATCAACCACAACAGGTTTTATATGCCTTGTACTTATGGTTAAAAAAAAGTGTGCGATAACAACATACTGTATATTTGAACATCTGTATATCTGCCCAGTGATTTTGGTTACAACAGACAAAAATTCAGAAAGCGTCAAATAATGCCTTTCTTTCTGATAATGAAAAATGATGAGTAGGCTACTTGTTCCCCCACGATTTAAGAGGTTTTGACCTAAAATACATTAAAGGCTTTATATGTGATTTTCACATTTAAATGTAATATAAATCAAGTATATCCTCTGGAAATAACTCTGTGAGTCATGAGTGTCTACAATGGGTGTAACACCCGAGTCCCACTGTCTGTGATGTTTTCAGAGTTTTCAGAGTCCTATCTTCACTTTGTTTACATCGTCAGGACGGCCGGCTGACTCCTCCCCTTTATAAAAGTTGTTTAATTGAGGGACTAGAGAAAAGAAGAATAACATACTGTACTCACTGCTTAACTGTGTTTCTAGATCACACTCATTTCAGTTAAATTTACATGCATTGATAAGATACGAGCATAATAAAGATCGCTAGCATTAGCATGCTAACCCACAATGCACCGCGAGTTGTTTTGGTTTCATGCTGGTGCTCAAGGGCGACATCTGCTGGATCAAAAGATCACATATAAAGCCTTTAAAGAGGATCATACTTTGAAATGAAATCAAAATGGTCTTAGAAAAATGTCTATGGATCCTAGAGTCAGACCAATATGAGAATTTTTGAGACCGACACAAACACTGCTTTTAGAGGAACATTTCAACAATTACTGATGTGGAAAGCCGATACTGGACTTTAAAAATCTAGTTTAATTCCCCTGATTTAACATGGATTTGACTCTGCAAAGGTCCTCAGAGCGCTGTTTGTTATATTTGACCCTATTATGCTTTTTCAAGCACTGCTAGCGTGGACGGCTCATCGGTGACGCTCTGCTACAGAAGCTGCAGACATCGCTGAGAGTTGAGAGCTCTGTTATACTAACGGAAGAATAAGACCATTTATAATCACCCACAACATCCGCCATTCATAAGCCAGATATCAAAATACCAGAATTTTCTTATTGGCCATTTAATCGGTGAACCTTTATCATGGTTGGACTCCGACACACACATATTTACTCATTACTTCCAAACATAAATGATGGTTGAGGAAACGGATATAGGTGCATTACCAACGCACTGAAGTCGGGGGTTAAAACTATAAAAAAAGTATCATCTTCAGTTCACAATGTAACTTTACGTCAGTCAGCACTTCACATTTAAAGGGTCAGGAAAAGGAGAAATAAAGACCTTGAAGAAGACACATCCGCTGCACTTCCCCCTTTAGCCTCATGAAAATTAAATGACTGTGATAATATCCATAGCAACTGAGACGTCTCCTGAAAATAATAAGGCTTGAGAGGAACACAGATGTCACCTTTTTGGAGCGTCCTTCCAACACCTGCAAAACACACATATTATTCATAGCTATTAGATGTCACAGCGAGGTCCGACAATAAATTGTCAAACATTATTTACAGTTTATACAAAAATCGACTTCATTGACAAGAATTCTGAATTGTCATTAATTTATAAGACTGGTTAAAAACACCATTTGGCAGTTCAGTCAGAGGCTTTTCATTGAGAGGCTGCCATATGTGTGCATTGTGATTCCCATCTCTGGCATGTCAGAGTGTTGAGAGGGGATTATTCTCTTGGATAAAGCCCCGTTGCTTAAAAAAAACTTGAGAAGACGAGATTTTACAGGGAAGCAGCTGGTGCTGTAACATGCTCTTTACAAGTTCGGCTGCCGTTGTTTGTGTGTGTGCTCTGTCGTCCATTGTGTATCATCCCAGCTCCATGAAGCGTGTTCATTATCAGGATCATCTTCCACATCACGCCGGCTATTTAAATCAGAGGCCGAGCTGCCATTTGCAGCATCCTCCTCCTCCTCCTCCAAAGTTAAATGGTTCATCTGTTCTGTTTGATTTTCTGATTCTGTTTGATTTAATGAGTCTAGAAGGTCAGAAATGTCAGGGATATCCCAACCGTCAACCGCATCCTCAGTCTCTGCAGCCTCTTTCACCTGTGCAGCCGCGTCTTCTGCACACGTCCCGGCCGCCTCACTCTCCGCCTGGTTAAGCGTCTCAGTCGATTGTTTCTCATCAGGGGTTTTGGCGGGGATTCCCACTGTCTCCTTTGTGAGAGTTTCCGTCTGAGGAAGAACTAAAGACGCTCCTGAGACTTCTTTAGTGGGAACTCCTACCGCCACCAGGATGGTGTCCATCTGACGCATGTAGTCCAGGTGGCCGTTCACCTGTGAAGCCAAGACATGGTCAAAAAGGGAAAACACATTTCTTTGTAAATAACAGGCTATTACATCTTTTAAAAAAACATTTGCTTAAATCAGGTCAAATTTGAACAATTGAGCAGGTGTACCATAACGGTGCTTCAGTCGTGTCAAGAACATTTTTACTCTTTTTTTTTTTTTTTTTTCAGTTGTGTGATATTAAAAGCCTCTGAGATTTACACCTGGTTCAACAGAACAACTCCCATGATGAATAACACTGGAGCCTGAAGGTTCATATGGAGTCATGTTGGTTATTGAAGAGCAGAAAGTCATTGCTGTGCCAGCAGGGGCCTTATTTTCTTTTTAAAATGGTACAACCGTCTGTTTTAAAGTGCCAATAAAGTTCTGTATTTATACTGCAAACGTTTTTATCATTATTGCACCTTTATCTTTAGAACACTTCAATGAACCAATCACAATCAAGTTTCGTATAAAGCTCCACTATAATATTGTTTTGTATTTTCCCTTTACTGCTCTATCTCATGAAATCCGTCAGCAGGACCTCACAGCGTCATGATTTTTCTTAAAAAGCAACAACCTTCAGATGCTTCAAAAACTCCACAGCTTGAAGGTGCTTTTTTTATTCAGAGATCTTAAGAGGGTCTAATATAAATATAAGCTGTGACTCACCACTGAGGAAAGATCGACATTGATTAGACGCCGATCCTGGATGTTGATTGGCTGTAGCCCAGCAACAGACATTTGTGCAGACGAACTTCGATAAAGGTACCCCAGGAGCCAGTCTCCTCTGATAGGTAGGAAAATAGTTCATTTATGTCATACTTAAATCACAGTTTCCGACAGAATAAGGACTAGTATATAAAAAATATGAACATTTAATGAATGAAGCTCTGTTGGATTACCTGCAGTAACCATTGACTATTTTTCCAGCCACCACCCTGGTCATTCTCTCCCACGCCTTTTCAGAGCCATCCACAGGGGCGCCCAAGAGAACCACATCCTCCACAACTCCTTCACTACCTGAGGATTTACAACAACAAAGGACTCAACGAGTTTGTCAGGAAGAGTTCAAACGGAAGAGAAAAGTTATATATATTAAAAAGAAAATGGACACAAAATGGACACAAATAAATCAATCTCAATATATTGAAAAGTATCCATCACAGTACATAACATCCCTCCAGATTCTCACTTTAAAAAGCTGCTCCCTTCATATGTGTTTTATCCATAGAGAGATGTTCATACCTTGGCCATCATTGGCCAGCTCCTGTAGACAATAGTAGATAACTCTGGCCCCGAGACTGAAACCAATCAGACTCACAGGTCGCTTCCCCTTTAAACACAGAAAGAAAGAGAGTCTCTTTATCCTCCTTGTGTTACAGGTCACAGGTTTTATTTTCTCTTCTTTGCTTAATGAATATAGAATTCCAGTTTTGTTCATAATCTTTAAACAAACTGAACTAATCACCCTTCCACATTAACAGCTGACATAATATCATAGAACTATTTGTACAAGTGTGTTGTAACAAGGGTAACGTGTTGTACACTACCTGCTGTCTGCTTCTTAGAACCTGAGCCAGGTGTTTCCCCACCTCCGCTGAGCGGTTCAGACAGACACACCAGGGGTGGTCGATGACGCTGGCTGCTGCCAGCAGAGACGCAGGCCACGTCAGAGCTGCCACAATGCCTGCAATTATGATAGTATAAAAAAAACAATGATGCAGATCCAATACAATGAAAGCACGATGGCTTGATAAGATAATAATAATAATACATTTATTTATAAAGTGCTTTAAATCAAAGTGCTGTACAAAGCAATACAGTTAAAATACAGGAAAAAACAAACAGAGAAATCATGACTCATACTCAACAGTAAACAGATGGGTCTTTAATTTTGCTTTAAAAACCTCAACAGAACAAGCCTGCCTAATGTCCAGAGGTAAACTGTTTCAAAGTGTCGGTGCAAGATAGTCAGGATCGTTTAACAGGAAGAGGTCATCGCTGACAATCAACGCAGCAAGGATTTGAGTTTTTCGCTTACAGATTAGAACAAATATTTCACCACGGGCACAAAACACTCCTGTGTCCAAATACCCGATCCACTCAACAGACTTAAGTGCTTTCTGCTTGATAATCCTCCTACCTGAGAGCACTGTGTACTTGAGTGCTTCCTGGGCCACGATGCTGACCAGCCCGTCCAGCAGAGAGGCCATGGCTGATCCCAGATCTCTGAGAAAACGTGACTCCCACACCAAGCAGTACTGCTCCCCACACTCGCCCAGGTTGCACCACGGCGCCTGGAATGAACCTGGAGGACAGTCCACGTGTTTTTGACAGAAGGATAAGAAGAAGCAGCACTTAAGTTGAGTGTTTTTTAGGCA